GCAGAGAGCTAATGACAGTTGAGGAAATCAGGAATGGCCAACCGCTTGTGAAGTGTAATACTGCTGGCCCAGCCTCCCCATGGCTTCAAACATGCGTCCCACCTCTTACACCTGACAGGCACTTGTCTGTCAGGTGTAGCAGCAGTTGCAGGGTGCTTAAAGCCGTCAGGGAGCCGGCCCAGCTTCCACAATGGCTTGCAGTACCCTTCCCCCTCCTACTTGTGAGGTGTAGGAGAGGGGGTGGGATGCTTAAAGCCGTCGGAGGCTTGCTCAGTAGGATTGCCTTAGTACTGCTGCTGGCCCAGCCTCACCAATGCCTTTAAACACACTCCCCCCCAACACCAGATAGGCAGGTGTCTGTCAGGTGAAGGAGCGTGGCCAGGGTACTTTAATCCATCAGGGAGGCTGCCCGAGCAGAAAAACCTTAGCAATGCTGCTGGGCCAGCCTCCCCACTGGCTTTAGACACACTCCCACATACCCCTCCTCCACCTGACAGACAGTTGTCTATCAGTTGCAGGAGCAGGGGCAGAGCTTTGAAATCCATTGAGGAGGCTGTCCAAGCAGCATCTCCTTAGCAATCCTGCTGGCCCAGCCTCCCCAGTGCCTTCAGACACGCTACTCCTTTTACACCTGACAGACAATTGCCTGTCAAGGGTTGGAAGGGGCATGGAGTCCTTAAAGCCATAGGGGAGGCTTGCTTTGCAGGATTTCCTTAGCACTGCTGCTGGCCCAGCCTCCCTGATGCCTTTAAACACAATCCTCCCCCTCTTACAGGTGGGTGTTTGTCAGGTGTAGGAGCAGGGCCAGGGTACTTTAATCCATCAGGGAGGCCACCCCAGCAGGATCACCTTAGCGAAGCTGCTGGCCCAGCTTAGCCACACTCCCACCCACTATGGAAATATACCCCAAATTTGTAGAAAAGTGGTTTCCTGTATTAGGTTATTTAACTTCTCACAATGCGGGTTCTAGAAGACTGGTTCATATGAACTTGCTCAATATCTGATTGCTTGGACATTGTTTTGAATACATAGTTGTGTCCCACTCCTTAAATTTAACATAAATGAGAAGCATTTCTGTAAAAAAGAAAAAAAAAGTATGCCCTGTACACACACACCCCAATCCAATGCCCAGGCCAAGCTTCTGCACCAAGAAACTCAAAATAAGGGGAGTGTATTCCTACCATGATGTCAACCCCCACTATGAAGAGATTTCTGAGAAACACGACCACTAAGGGTCCCCCCCCAAATTGGTCAACTTGTGTGGCTCAGAGTTCTGAGGTAAAACCTGCCTGCTTGCACCCACCTCCCTCTGATTGCTCAGCTGTGGATCTCAATGTTCTGAGGTAAAAAAACAGTTAAAAGAGACAGCAGACTGTTGAGGACAGTTACAGAAATCAGCAATTTAAGACTTCTGAATAGACATTTCTCATAACAGCCAGCATGGCAATTGAGTTTATGAATGTTCATGGGGAGATAGTAAAGGACCTTACTAGGAGCCTGCTCTAGAGTGAGCTCACCAAGCAGCCTGGTGATCCTAGCACCTGAGGGCAGAACCACCACTGTGGTCTACGGAGAGGTCCTTTGGTGGTGGTGGGAGAGTACGCATGTCTCACTTCATCCTTTACACTACAGTCTTCTCCATTAGAATTCCTACAACAAGTGTTACCTTTCAGACTTCATATTATCAGTATTATGACTGGATTTATGGAACTTAAATACCGTAGCGAAGCACGGGTATCAGGCTAGTAATAAATATTTGTATTGTTATAATAACTTATTTTGTTAGCTTGACCCTCATTGATCACTATTAGGCAAGTTGGTTCAGCCAAGCTAGTGTGGATGATATCTGTTGCATCTCAAAAGCCTCAACCTGAGGGACCGCCTTTCCTCGTATATACCCCAAAGAGCACTACGATCTAGGGCACAACATCGCCTAGTAATTCCAGGCCCCAAGGCAGCCCGGCTTGCTGCAGCCAGGGCCAGGGCCTACTCAGTGGCGGCTCCCACCTGGTGGAATGAGCTCCCGGAGGAGATCAGGGGTCTGTGGGACCTTGTACAGTTCCGCAGGGCCTGCAAGACGGAGCTCTTCCGCCAGGCTTTCGATTAGGAGCCGCCACTACCACCATCACCAACGAACCCAGTTGATAACTGGGAATGGAGTGGCCCTAGGACGATTGCATCTCAGTGGCGCGGTAGATCGGTACCGTTGTACGGGGATGGAGGCAACATCTACTGGACACCATCTTGTCTTAATTTAAGAGCAACAGTACTGAGCACTTTATGTAATTTTGATATTTATTCGATTTTATCTTGCTTTACTTGGTTTTATGTATTGGCACATGGTGCCCTTGCTTGTTAGCCGCCCTGAGCCCACTCGTGGGGAGGGCGCAGTAGAATTCTAAATAAATAGCACTGTTTCACTTGCTAGTGCTATTTCTTCATTTGCTTTATGGAAAAAGTTGCTATCTTGGAAGCACTGTAAAATTGCTGATACATTTATGAGAAGCTCAAGTTAAATACCTGCTCAGGCAACCAGTGTATTTGACATTCATGCTGCTTTTAGTTTTCTAGGCAGCAAAAGCATCATGAAATTTACAAAATAAATGTTATTTCTTACCAGGTATTTTTGGCCTTTAAAATGGTGATTGAGGTAGACCGCAGTATGAAATGTTTAAGCGCAGCTGTATCTCTTAAGGACTTTCACAGCCCCTTCCTTTACTTAAAGGGATAATTCTCACATTGCTTTGAAATGTTGCTGGTTAGCAGTTATTCTCACCTTTGGTTTTAAGTTTCAAATGTCAAAAATGTGGTAGATCTGATTTTTGAGAAGATGTATTCCCTTACCCTTGTCTTGCTTGAGTCACTAGAAACTAGTTACAGATACTACCTGCCGAGTCTCTCAATTCCTTCTGACTGTATCTTCTTCAGATAAACGTATGCATTTTAAGATAATGTATATCTAGAACTGTATCTTTTAATATCTTTAAAAGTTATTTGTACATGTGATGATGTAGGCAGTAGCATTTTCATCTGCGAAGCATGACTTCCCCATCTTTCTTCTTCCATGACAGCCCCAGAGCAACCCCCAGTGCTGCTTCTAGGGAACAGGAGACCCCAGAAATAGCTTGGGGTATCAGAGGGGGGAAGCTGTGAAAATTATGCCCTTCTAGCAGGGATCCAAGCCTATGTCAGTATATTTAATAGCAAAAATTAGTTTCTTTGGTACAGCATACTTGCCTAGTTTTCATAACTAATAATTTGTTGTTTCTAAATGTTTGTTTCTTCTGTTTTACATGTATTGGGTTTTTGTACATGCATTACCTGTAGAGCTATTGGGGGCAGGAAATGTATAAAGGTATTTTTGGTATAGTTGCTGTTCGTAATCAAATTATACAGTTTTACTAGTAATAAATTATTTCTTTCTGTTCAGAGTAATGATGGTAATGAGTTGAGCACAACAATAGTCTGGACCAGTCCACCTTCAGCATTGGAGCAGGACGCTGAAAAAAAGAACACTGTTTTACAAACAAACAAAACCCCCTCAGTAAGCACTACCCAAAGAAGTCTTACTAAGAAGCTAGAGGCAGCTGAATCTACAGAGCCTAACAACCAATCTGAGGACCAGAAAACATCATCAGAATGTGCATTGAAAAGCAAAGACCAGTTTGCACGTATTTGTCTTGATGTGGCGTCCAGTAATAATGAACTCTGTCAGGCTGATATTCCTGTAACATACGGCGGCTGCACAAACACAGCACCTGGACTAGGCTTACCTTCTCTAAATATGTTGCCATCTTTCAGGAGATTTGATGGGTGTATTCGCTTAAGTCAAAATATACCAGACTTGAAATCCCATAATGCTGCTTCCAAGATTCCAACTGTACCGTCTGTGATGCCAACCTTGTTAACCGGTTGTTCCCTTAGAGCAACTCCATTTGCCCAACAATATATCGGAAACTTACAATCAAATGTGAATATTGCTTTGCCTCAGTATCATCTTGATTGTCCTCAAGTTTTTGGCCTTCCAGCAGGACTGATTTATTCTAGCATCCCTGTGGGTCATACTCAAAACTCACTGGCTGCAGGAATGGCACTGGGTCCAGATGTTAGGTCTGGATTGCTGGGCACAACTCCGCATTACAAGTTTACATCCAACCCACATATTCTTAATAGCGAATCAGGTACAGTGCATGTAAACTGATGTTGCCGGGCCTAGACAGTGGGAAGTATCTGTGCCATTTGAATACAGTATGTTAGTTTTTCTTTGATTTTTCACAGCATTGTTTAAAGTAATCTAATCCAGAGGCTGCTTTCTTAGGCATTTTGTCCCAGTTATACATCTTCTATCCACTTTGCTTATGCCTTTTTATCATAAAGCATTTTGCAGGTGTTGATACTAGTTTACAACGTGAAAACAAAAAGCTGTTTCATGGTATCTTAGGCTAACACACTTAGTGGGGCTCACTTTATCAGGTGCATGAAGTGAATTCTTAGTTAGCTCTCTGAAGTGGGCTCTAGGCCATTAAGGCTTAGGCTTCAATAAATGTTAAGGTGTCACAAGATTCCTTAGTGTGTTGCAACAGACTAAGATGGCTACCCGTCTAGCTTCTGTTTGTGAGAAGCATATTTCATTTCCTTGCCTCCTGTGCTGTTTATTCCTGGCACTTTTGGTTTCATGTGCTTGTCTTCCCATATTCTTTTCTGTTGCTTTTCTTTGAATTTTGAATGCATGTTAGCCAATATAAAGTGTTACATAATTTACAGTTGTCTAAAAGTATAGAAAATGCAAATGCTGTCATAAACATTTATTTTTCTACTATAGTAGGCATTTTAAATATGCTTGTGAAACTTGTGTATGTGCCTAATGTGCCTAATGCTAGGAGCTAAACATGATCAATAGGAGCCACTAGCTGTACTGTAGTGGTTCCCATGCTGATGGGTAACCAGATAGATAAACAAGAACCAACTGTCAGTATAAGGATAACAAGGATTTCTTTTCATAAAGTCCTCTGGGCAAATCCATAGGGCCTCAGTGCATCCTAATATTAACTTTTAAATGTGTTTTATGCCTCTTAAATTTTCTAAAGCAGATAGCTACAGTAAGAAAAGAACAAAACTTACACAGTGGCTATACACCAGGTGTGAGAACTGTTTAAAGGTCTTCTGTTCGGTAGTGGTATATTTAGGTCTATGATATAGTTGGAGTTTTCCATATTAATTTTGCCAGGTATTGGTATGTAATCATAGTGTCTGGCAGAATACAGCATGCAGGCTGAAGGTACTAACAGGTGCCCTGCCTATACTGATACACTGCTTCAGAGGGTAGCCATGTTGGTCTAAAAGTTGTCTAAAAGTATAGAAACTGTACAAGAGCTAGATTTGAGCCAGTAGCACCTTAACAGTTCTACAAGATTTTGGGGGTATAAGCTTTCAAGAGTCAAACTGCCATGTCTAAATAGTGTCTGTTTTATCCTGGTCAAGATTGGAGTGTCTGGACTGGATTTTTTTCTTTCCTAGGGCATGTGAAAGTACCAGAAGAAATAAAATTCTGTGATGCTTGTTGTGTGGGGCTCACTTCACAAACAGTCCTCAGCATTCTAAATCCGACTGAACGCTGGCTGCAAGTCTGCATTGACCTGCGTAGTGTTACTCTTAATGGGGAAAAGGTATGTAAACTTCTGTGTAGAGCAGGAGTCCCCACCCTTTCTGAGCCTGCAGTAACCTTTGGAATTCTGACAAAGGGTGATAGGTACAAGCACAAAACGCCCGGGAGTGGGGTTATGTGTAACTCTTTAAGAGTAACTCTTCCACATTTCAGGCATCAGCTCTGCTCCAGAGGGCCTTTTTAAAATGAGCATAGTGTTTAACAATGTTTCCTTGCATACATACAGTTTATCTTCAGTCGTGCACTGAAGATCCTTGTGCTGTGGTGGCAACTGCTGCCAAAGCAACCCTTTGTAAGTATGCATATCCAATCAGATCTCTAAAGGCCACTCAGAAGCCTTGCTCAGCAAAACCCCCACCTAGCCCTGCTCACTTTGTAAAAACATTTGGTGGGTACTAGGAAAGGTGTTGGCAAGCATCCATGGGTTCTGTAGAGGGCCCCCCCTAACGTACAGCATACATAAAAATACTATTTTGCCTTGCACTGTGGTAGGAGCCCTACAAAAGTCCTCTATTTTATGAACCCTGTTCCTCCAATACTGATTGAAGCATCTACCAGTATAATTGGGTGTGTGTGTATGTGCTGTGACAACATTTGAATGTGGCTGACACAACCATAGGTCTTCTGTAAGTCTTTATCCTCTAAAAGGTTTGTAAAACTTATTGTTCTTTGTAGATGGAACCCCTGAAACATGGATGCCTGCTGTTTAAGAACAAAACCATCATAGGACCTTGTACTACAGAAGAAATAAAAATACTGTTCTTACCTTGTCAAGCAGGAGTTTTCCAGTGTGTGCTTAGCATTGCCTCTTGGCCACTTTCTGCAGATGCAGAGACAATAGTCCAGGCAGAAGCTTTAGCAGCTAGGGTCATCTTGAATGCAGTTGCTGAAAATCCTGATCTTGAGGTAAACCATTGGCATTCATTCTTTCTGTTAAGATTCAGCTATGGACAATCTGCCGAATTTGCTTACTGGAAAGTAGTTTGAAATGGCTTTTATGAGAAAAAGAACACATTCTGCCTGATATCCTAGTGGCTTCATAAATTGTTTGTAGGTGTGGATATACTGAAATATTTCTCTGACATTCAGCAAGTCAGGTTTTTCCTGTTAGTGTTTTAAAAAACAGAATCATGAATTCAAGTCCACACTACTACTACACTAGTTAATTAAAAACCGAACTGTGTAGAAATGTATTGAATCCCAAGTAACTAGAGTTGATGTAACTATTTGGAAAGTGTGTAAGGGGTAAAGGTGTGCAATTTTTTTAAACTAATATTTTTCAGTTCAGGTCTATTGGACACACACACACACACACACACCATTGTGCTTCCTAAAAAATCCCAGATCCAGGTAACGCTATTGTATTCTGATTCGGGATTTTTCGGAAATCCTGAAATTCTTCGGGTCCAATAGACCTGGACTGAAAAATCCCAGTTAAAAAATACCAGCCTGATCCTAGGGCTTGGCTTCCTTTGCCAGTGGAGAGTGATTGGCGAGGATGCCCTCTCCTGCTGTCCGGTTTAAACTGGGCGGCAGGAGAAGGCAGCACAGAGCTGCGCCTGCAGGGAGCTATCAGCTCCTGGCTGGGCTGCCCTCTCCTGCCGCCAGTTTAAACTGGGAGGCAGGAAAAGGCTGCGAAGAGCTGCACCTGTGGGGAGCATACAGATCCAAAAGCTTATGCCTAGTGAGGGGGAAGTGGTTGAGCTACATACTTCAATTATGCTATAGGATTTTGCACTTAAAATGATGTCAATGAAGTCCATGGAAACAAAATAACTGAACTAGTTAGCATAAATGCATCATTAAGTAAAAATTTATTTATTTATTTATTCGTTAAATTTATACCCCGCCTTCCCCCGTAGGGCTCAGGGCGGCTTACATGGCAAAAACTTGCTCATAAAAACATCAATACTTTAGTATATTTAAAAACATACTGTACAGATTTAAAACCCAATCAACTAGTAAAGTGCTCAAACTCTTAATTTTGGTCATAATGGTCTCTTAACCACTGGATATGTGACTGTCCTTTTCAAGCTTCTGAGAAAGCCTTTTAGTTGCTGTGCCCTTGTGGAATGAATGGAGAGCTAAACTGCATATATCCAAGTTGGAATTCTTAGCAGCAAACTGCTTGCTTTTCCACACACACAAGTCTGGCTTGGTGTATCTCACTTTTCAAAGACTGTTCCTTTTCCTAATATTAGGTGGAAGTAAAACAGCTTGACTTTGGTGATCTGCCATCTGGCAGCTGGAAATGTCTCCCACTAAAACTGATTAATAAGACGCATGCTAGAGTGCCAATCAGACTTGTTATCAATGCAGTAAGTATTGCAGCTAATACCATGAAACTGCCATGCAGTTATCTTTTTAAATAGCTTTTTGTGTAAGTGATTGCTACTTTGGCTTCATCATTGTTTGCTTGAAAGTTATAGATCAGTAAACTTTTCTTCTTTTCCATTGTCCCCTTGGGGGACCATCTGCTGTACTCTCTACACAGTGTCCTTGGGTGAGCTAACAGAACCTCCTGGATTTGACACCTGTCTGTATCCCAGAACTTCTCTCCAACCAGTCCTGCAGTGATAGTTTACTGACTGATATTTCCTTGTACGCCATTGCATTGGTTCATGTTGCAGTCGTCTCCCATCTTGATTACTGCAACCTGTCCTCCTTGGCCTTCTGTTGTCCACTGTGGCCTGCTCACCTCTGATCAGAACTCTGCTGCCACAGTTACCATATCCCTTATTATTTAGATAATACGCTTCCCTTCTTAAGTCCCTGTACTGCCTTCTACCCAATTTGGATCCTACTCCAGGAAGATGGATGTGTAAAATGGTATAGGGTGATTCAGGATGTGCATGTTAGGATTTTCTTCTGCAAGTGCCTATTCTGCAAATAATCTTTTTTATGTATTAGGAGTCAGTGTCACAGTAGGCTTTCTCCAGTCGGTCAGCATAATGCCAAGATTAGTTTCTCCTTGAGGAGAGCTGCACATAATAATTCCTAATTATTAATAGAAACATGAAAATTTGTCTACTCGGTGTATCAAAAGGGCACCATTAATACAAATCAATATGGTTACCTCTGTTATTGGATAGTTTCTTTAAACTTGCAAATGGTCTGTTTTCAATATATAAAAATATTTTAATTGTAGAATGCTGTTGCATGGCGCTGTTTCACATTTTCCAAAGAACCTGTTACTCTTCCTGTTAAAAGTACAGTCCGTACATGTAATATATCTCAGCTAGCAGCTCCTTCAGTGATCTCCCATGTCTTGAATCCAAGCTACAATGAGCAGGTAAGTAGCTATAAACTGGAGTATAAAGGGTAATTTATCCAATATATTGTATTTAGATATTTATGACCAATTTTTTTCCGCTGGGGAGCTAAAGTGGCTTACAACAGCATTCTTCCCTTCTTTTAATTTTTTTTTTGTATTATAGTATTATATAAGGAATGTCTTCCCTTCTGTTTTATCCTAATATAACTACCAATCCTGTGAAGAATGTTAGGCTGAGAGAGGGACTGGCTCAAGGTCACTCAGTGAGCTTCCATAGCAGAATGGGGATTCAAACTTGTCTCCCAGATCCTAGTCTGACAATGTAATCACATGACAGTGTAATCATGACAGCATTTGTCTCTTAAGCTCCTGGTCACTGAAATTGTTTAGTTGCTGTTCTCTCTTTGTATACATCTGGTGTATACAGGTGAAACTAGGGTTGGAGCTCTCAGTGGTAATTCCCAAACTAAACTCAGTGGTAATTCCTAAACTCAGTTCCCTGCTGAGGAAGGGATCCTCAGTAATGAGATTCAGATTGTAGGTGGACCCTGGTAGGCATTTGTTGTTGTTCATTTTTGTATCATTGATGCTGGGGACAGTCAATGTATATGTGTGTATACTCATACTAAGCTGCTTTGCATATCTTTTGCATAGAAAGTTGGTGTATGCATATTAAATCAGTCATATTTCACTCATTGCTTATATGAAACCATTGCCATCAGAAATTTTGTGTATTTTAGCTTGGCTTTAATTGTTTAAACAATGTGTTTTTGTTTAGTTTTAATTGGTTTTAAGATGCATTTTTATTATGGATGTTTTTAATCCTGGTGGCCCTGATGAGGGCAGGAATGCAGTGTTATAAACTTTGTAAATCTGGCCACATGCAGAAACCTTTCCTTGCTTTTTGTTTTGTCTTTTAAAATCAGAAATAGCAATTTGACACCTCAATTAGTAACATTCTCTCTGTCATAGTATCGAGGTGCCCAAGTGGTTGAAGAAAGAAATCCGCCATATTTCAGAAGAACTTCTGCATCTATTGCTCATGGTTGTAAAGGCTACTTATAGAAAAACGTCCTAGTTATTTAAAATTGTGGTTTTGTTCTAATTATGAAATTAATGTCAGTGTTTCAAGCTTTATCATGGAAACATTTGTTAAGATTGAAGTTTCTATAGCACACTAGAGTTTACACAAATATCTTTCCTTCCAGGATCCTGAAGCTGTAGTAGTTTGGGTCCAGTTCCATGCACCAAGCAAACACATCACTTCAGGTACAGAACTCTGACGAACTGTGTTCTGAATTTGGTTGATACCAGGTGGCTATTAGTCTAGCAGAACAAAATTCAACTGGTAAAATACAACTTTGAACCTAGTAATGATTCATCTGCTGCTTAAATCTAGCACTTGTGTGAAGAAGCTCCATGGACAGTTTTAGATTTAAGTATACAGAATATCATCCAAATGAGACAAATGTATTTGGGAACCTGTATTGCACAGGGTAAGGCACGTGTAGAAGACAGTCATGGTTACTACAGTCAGGCATAGAATACTCCTGGATTTTCTGTCATAAAATGTGTGGAAGGGTCCTTAGGTCAGATTTCAGTAGGTTTTTAAAAAAACTGAGTATAATATTAAGTTTCCATTCTTCATATAGGAGGGAGCATATGCAAACATGCCTAGGTTAGTGCAAGCAGTGTACTAGGGAATCAGGCTAATATACTGGTATTTTGAATAGGGCTTTTTTGTACAAGTATGCACTTGCTTTTTTTTCTTTCCAAAAAGACCAGTGTGCCATTTCTGCATTGATGTTGGCAAAAAGGCAATATTTCCCCACCATCACTGCATCTGCAGAGCTGTTCCATGTGGTTCTGGAGCTCTTACATCATAGCCACAGGAAATTGGACTCTGACCACACGATGGTCTGCTGTGATCAGTTTGCTAATTACTTCGCAGATAAAATTGCCCAGATCCACTGTGAGTTAGATGCTGGCATTGATGCATGTTTAGACGATACACCTTTGGCATCTGCCTGTCCAGTTTATGTATGGATACCTTTCACATTGTGCCACCTAGGGAAGTGGACAGGGTTCTAGGAGAGATGAGGTCTACTGCCTGTGTCCTTGATTTTTGCCCTTCCTGGCTGATAAAAGCTGGGGGGGGGCAGGCTGAGTGGTAAGGAGAGTCATAAATGCTTCCTTGACAGTGGGAGTTGTGCCACTAAGCCCAGGGAGGCAGTGATTACACCTGTTCTGAGCCCCACCATATTAGACCATTTCTGACCAGTCTCCAATCTTCCATTTTTGGGCGAAGTACTGGAACAGATTTTTGTTTCTCAGCTCCAGGGGCTCTTGGAGGAAGCTGATTTTCTGGATCCTTTTCAATCTGGTTTGGAATTGGAACAGGCAGTTCTGACCACTTTGGTTGATGACTTCTATTGAGGACTAGACATGGGGAATGTGACCATGCTAGTTCTGCTGAATGGTCTCAGTGGCCTTCCACACACCATTGACCATGGGAGGCTGGTCCCAAAGGGTGGTGCTTGGGGATTCCTGTTCTGCCCTATTGTTGGCCCGTGGGGACCTTGTCTCCCATTCTGTTTAATATTTACATGAAGCCACTGGGAGGGGTCATCAGAAGGTTTGGGCTGAAGTGTCACCAATATGTGGATGGTACCCAGCTCTACTTTTCCACCTAATTCCAGGGATGCTGTTGATGTTCTAAACCTGTGCTTTGAGTCAGTAATGGACTGGATGAGGGTCAATAAACTGACAATCCTGACAAGACAGAGGTGATCTGAGTTAGTAGAAAGGCAGACCAGGGACTTGAGATCTTCCCTGTCTTGGATGGGGTTAAGCTCCCCTTGAAAAGTGAGGTTCGCACTTTGGGTGTTCTGCTCAAAATAGTGGTCACCATAGAAAATCAGGTGGTTTGTGCACCAAGTATGTCCATTCCTGGGTCAGTCAGATTTAGCCACAGTGATCCATGCCTTAGTTACTTCTAGACTGGACTACTGCAGTGCAATCTACTAGGGGCTGCCCTTGAAGAGTGTTCAGAGTTTGCAGCTAGTACAGAATGCTGCCGCTAGAATAATAGTCAGGACCAGTTGCCAGAATCATTGTGACCCCAATCCTACTGCCTTCCAATCCACTCCTAAGCCCAATTCAAGGTGTTGTTTTTAACCTTTAAAGTCCTACATGGGGGGACTTGGGGTATCTGAAGGACCATACGTTCTGGGCCAGGAATTAAGATCACAAGGAGAGGCCCTCTTGACTGTTTCATTGATCAAAGAAGCTGATGGTTTCATAAGAGAGGGCATTTTTAGTGGCAGTCCTAGGGAAGTGTGCCTGGACCCCTCACGCTTGATTTTTAGGAGGCAGCTGAGAACAGTTTTATTCACAGAAGTATTTGATTAGTTCTTCTGCCTACTGACAGTTTTAAATTGCTGATTTTAATTAGTGTTTTTTAGTTTTATTGTATTAATATTTACATTGTAAGCCACCTTGAGTTCCGGTAAGGTAGAAAGGCAGCTAATACATGTTTTAAATAAATAAATAAATAGCATAACTTGGGGTACATCAGCAGCTTGCCTAATGAATTATGAGGAGAATCAGAAACTGCTTTTTCTTGGGACAGTCTTTGGAAGCCAACTGTATGTTATGGCAACCATTGTAAACTGAAGTATTCTGCATGTCCTCCTTGTGGCATCTGTGATGTTGAAACATCCCTGTGGCAATCAGAAGCATTGTTTTGACATGTCTTTCAGGTGACTTTGAAATATTCAGATCACTGAGTATTAACAGCCAGGCTTTTCATTTAAGGCTGCTGAAAAGGAGTAATAAATAATTGCAATGTAGTAGTAATAGCATGTGTTCCTGTGTTCCACTGATTTTTTTAAAAAAATGAATTTAAGCTGCCATTTTTGTAAGTTGCTTTGGATTTTTAAAAAACAGAAGTAATATGAAATACTTTACTGCCACTGTGCCAATGCTATTTGATTTCATTGTTGATTTTTAGCCCTTGCTTGGTTCTTAATGAGTTATTCAAGTACTTGCTCATTTGATTTCACTGTTGGCTGATCAAAACTTGAGATAATATGCTATTAAGTCTGACTAAATAGAATAAGGTACAAGATTTTGAGTAAAAATAATCAAGTTTAAACTTTCAGATATTTTGGGCCCGCCAGATGAGTACTTGGCAAGAATTGATGTGGAGGTTGATTGTCCAGAGCCTGCTAACATTTTAAGTATTCCTTTGTATGCAAGATCTGGAACTCCTAGAATATATGCCCCAAAGGGTCTGCAGGTATATTCTGAAACCCAAATTATCTCATTTTTATTATATCCAGTCTTTCTGTATTAGATGTCAGCTGTTTGATACTGTCTTTTTCCCCCAGACTTTATATATGTCTGCAAGAGTAGGATCATCAATAAGGCAGCAGCTACCTCTAAAGAATGCTGGGAATATTAGAGTTGATTTAAAGATCATGGTGAGTAATTACCTCTGTTCTAAGAAGTACTTCTGAAATTGTCAAACCAGTCTGACTTTGTAAATACATAAGAGTTAGTTTGAGTGGCAAGAGGCTCTGTTGAGTCTCCCTTTTCCTAGTAAAATAAGGATTGGCACCCCTAGAGACAGTTGTGGAACAGATAGTTACAAGTTATATTCACTGAAAGGAAAGAGGGAAAGCTCATCTTAAGGACACTAAGAAAAAAATGAAAGCTACTTGAACTAACACTATTCATTTTTAGACACTGGAGCCAAGTAGCAGCATCTCTGTTGAGCCTGAGGAACTGGTCCTTATACCTGGGGAAGAACGAGAAGTGACAGTTCACTTCTCTCCAAAGGACTGTAGAAATGCTGAAAGGTAATTCACCCTGTTTGACCTAATCATGAAAAGCAGTGTTTCTTTTTACGGAGTATCTAACTTGAGACTTCATTTTAACAGTGTTGTGAAAATTTTCGTATTGCCCTCTGGACCAGAGTATAAAGTAACTGTGAAAGCTGAAGTACCCGTGGTGGAGAGCAGACCTGTGACACAGATGTGCCACAACTCAGAAGTTCCCCCTATCCTTGCTAATAAGCAGCTTGTGGCATGGGGTGGAGTACAACTTGGCAGAACAGCGTAAGTACCAAGAAAATGGTTTCAGCAGAATACAGTTGAGTCTGTTGTCCCGAAGCCTGACCCAGTATTTCATTTGTAAATAAAATGTCTTATTTTAAACACTACCCTGATTTTATTCAGTAGTATTGTACTTTGAAAAAAATGCCCTAAGGAAGATCTTGCACAACTTAACTGGGATCTGATCAGCACAGTTTGAAACAGGAACTACTTCTCCATGTGCACAGGCAGAAAATGCCAGTTTTCCTCCACATAACACTCCAGAGGACCTCCAGAGATGAGGCTTTTCAGGGAGGTGAGGGCGGGGATGTAGGGGAAATGGAAGGTGGGAAATCTCTCCCATGCAGAACTAGAACACTAAATGCAGTTTTCTGAATTCCAGCCCCTGGATTCAAGTTTACATTCAGGTCTCTTGCAATCCTAGAATGCTTTTCTCTTATGCTATCCTAGAATGCTTTTGTTTGGATGCCTCCTAAGAAAACATCAAATCTCTCACTCTTGGCTGTTGGAATTATTGGTTTGCAATCTTTTATGTAATATTAATGTAAAAGATGGACTGTTTTTAGCTAGAAAATGGGACTGGAATGAATTTGATTTTTAAAACTTCCAGCAGTTTTTCCCCAAGAGGTTTTTGCAGTGAGTTTGTATCTGCCCTTGTGTTTTTGAGTGAGGCTTCCTACCAATCAAGATGTTTAGGAAAATTACCCAGTGGGCCCACAAACTTAGACCTCAACATTTTTTTTAATAAGGACAGGCTTGTATTCTGACCATGTGTTTTATTTATTTATTCATTCATTCATTCATTCCTCATATTTCTACCCCAGCCTCCCAGCCGAACCCGGCTCAGGCAGCTTACATAAAATTAATGTACAATTACAGTAAAACAATTGAACCACTTAAAACAGTATTAAAACCAATTAACAATAACATAATAAATGCTAGTATTGTTATTGAATCAACAATGGCTACCATATCAGCTTTCTCTTCCTATAGCTGGCTCATAGGTCTTCTGCAGCTGTCTTTCAGGTGGCTGGCACAGGCTGTTAATACAAATTCCAGAGGCAATGGGCCTCCTATCCTAGTTGTTAGTGGTGGCGGCCGTTCCAAAAGCCTGGCGGAAGAGCTCCATTTTACAGGCCCTGCGGAACTGTAAAAGGTTCTGCAGGGCCCTGATCTCTTCCGGGAGTTCGTTGCCAAGTTGTTGCATTTGAGAAAGGGAACCAACTGCCTGATCAACCGAAGATGATAAAAGGCTGACTTGGCAGTGGCTGCTACCTGGGCCTCCATTGTTAAGGAGGCATCCAGGAGCACTCCCAAACTCCTAACCTCTGGCGCTGGCACCAAAGGTCCCCCATCGAAGGTTGGAGGCAGGATCCCTACCCTTGGACCGCCCCGACTCAGGCAAAGGACCTCCGTCTTTGTCAGATCCGATTTCAGCCAACTCTGCCTAAGCCAACCAGCCATGGCTTGTAGCACCTGGTCTAGATCTTCCGGTTTGGAGTCGGACTGACCGTCCAACAGCAGATAAAGCTGGGTGTCATCCGCATACTGGTGACATCCCAGCCCATGCCTCCGGGCAATCTGGGCAAGGGGGTGCATGTAGATGTTAAAAAGCATCAGGGACAACACTGCCCCTTGAGGCACTCCACAATTGAGTGGGTGCCTCTGGGATAGTTGATCCCCCAGTGCCACCCTTTGTTCCTGACCTTGGAGAAAGGAGACAAGCCACTGCAAGGCCAGCCCCTGGACCCCAATGTCAGTGAGGTGGTGGATCAGTAGCTGATGGTCGACCGTGTTGAATGCTGCTGACAGGTCTAACAACAGCAGCACTGCCAATCTGCCCTAATCCAGATGCCTCCGGAGGTCACCCATGAGGGCGACCAGCGCTGTCTCCTTCCTGTGGCCTGGGCAAAAGCTGGACTGGAAGGGGTCTAAGATGGAAGCATCATCCAAGAAGCCCTGTAGCTGTATGGCCACAGCCCTCTCTATTATCTTGCCCAAATAAGGCAAGTTGGAGACTGGCCGGAGGTTCGCCAATTTGGCTGAGGATGGCTTTTTCAAGAGAGGGCACACCACTGCTTCCTTAAGTGCCCCAGGGAACCGCCCCTTCAAGAGGGACTTGTTGACAATCTCCCTTAGGGCACCTCGGAACCCTTCATGGCCAGCTTTAATTAGCCACGAAGGGCACGGGTCAAGGGAACAAGTGGTAGGGTGTACAGTTAGGAGCAACTTGTCAGCTTTCTCTAGGCAGAGCAAGCTGAAATGATTCATAACCAGACTAGAAGATGTGCATGGAGCTTCGAATTCTGTTGGTACAAAGCCAGAGGGGTGATTTTTGTCAATTCTTCCCACTATAATCCCCCAGTTTGCCCTGTCCTGCTGTTCCGTTCTTCCCCCAAACATGCGTTTGGGGAGTGAAGCCAGCCTGCATAGGAGTGGGAGAAGTGGGAAATCTCACACTAGTGCCAGTTCCTTTATCTCTTCTATATTTTCTGATTCTGTTTCATTGACAAGACTAAGGCTTCATGTCCCTGTTTTACTCTTCTTCATTCACAGTCAGCCTCAAAACAAAACTTACAGGAAAAAGACAGATGATTTCTCAGAGGATTCCATCTGCCTTTGCAGTACTCAGGGAAAAGTTTCTCTCGGCATTCCACATAGGACGAATAAACTATGCAGATACAATTTTGTCATCCAAAGGGGAATTCTTTCAACAGATATATAACTAGTTCTTGACTCTAACCAGCCCTTCTTGGAAACAACCCCAACCCTCTCTCTACCTATATGTAAAGCTTGAGGAAGTCTGTTTCAGTGTATCTGAAGACATGTGCATGCACATGAAAGTTTATACCCAGAATTAAACTTTGTTGGTCACTGGACTCAAAACTTTTTTCTGTTGCTTCGAACCAACATGGCTACCCACCTGAATCTAGGTCTCCATACGGCAGCTGTCAGAGTACTTCATTTCTAAGGCAACAAAGAACACACATCAAGTGATACGTTAGGCCTGTTACTAATCCTTTATGATATACAGGTTTCTCTTCTTGCCCTGAAGCTAACAAAATGGTATGCTGGAGGAGTTTGCTCCACTGAAAGGGATTAAACTCTAGGCAGTATTTATAGCAGTGAAGCCTGTGTTTCCTTGATAATCAAAATGGGAAAACTGCAGGGTTTAAAGCACTTGAACAACAAGCAGCCAGATAAGTGTTGATGACACAAGCCTCATTTAAGTGTGTTTTGAGCAAAGAAAATGCAATTCAAGCAAGGCTGGCCTGGGATATTTGTCATGTGGAGTGGTAGAGCCAAATCCTTTTCACCGTAGTTGAGTATATTATAAAGAAAGCAATAAATTTATTTATTTGATTTCTAGCCCATCCTCCCCTGCATAGCAAGGCTCAGAGTGGGTTACAACAATAAAATAAAACAATGGAATGCAATAGTTAAAACATAGAGATAACAGTCATAAAACCCAATAAGCACCAATCAATCAAGAACAGTAAAATAACAACAATTAATGACGCCAGTCAGGGCTCTTTTTGTAGCAGGAACTCCTTTGCATATTAGGCGACTCACCCCTAGTCAATCCTCCAAGAGCTTACAGAGCTCTTCTTGCAGGGGCTACTATAAGCTCTTAGAGGATTGGCTACATTAGGGATGTGTTGCCTAATATGCAATGAAGTTCCCGCTACAAAAAGAGCCCTGACTGGCGCCAGTTAATACGTCTGCTCCCTATTGAACTCCGTGTCTGTGTGCAAGTAGAGGATGACTAATACCAAGGGAGATGGGCAAATGAGAAGAGTAGTGCCAGGCAGGGGAAGCCAATACTGTCAATTCTCCACCGCCTCAACTGTAGGCCAGATAGGTAGCATTAAAAGGCACCTTTTAGTGGCATTTAAAATCTGCTGCCTGATGTTTCTACTTCTCCTGACCTTGTGGGTTACCCTCTGCATCCAGAAGCATGTGTGTTGTGAATATTAAGTGACATATTAAACATTTTAAGAATTCTATACAGCTCTTGCTGTTGAAAGTAGTTGACATACAACTCTAAATTAAAAAACAGACATAAAAATATCCTAGCTGTTTGGTGGACATTCGGTAGCTCATTGGATAAATATTCTACATTTTCGCTTTAGTAGCTATCCCACAGATTCATAGAAAACATACAACTGTTGGACTTCCAGTTTGTGGATTGGCGATGGCGGTCGCTCTCCCCAACGCTTGGGGAGGATTAGCACACCAGCGATGAGGAGGGGTGCCACCTCAAGTGGTACCCCCACGGAACACTTGCGATGGGTTCCAGGCCAGGGGGCTTTTGAGGGTTAGTCTCTTTGATGGCTTGATGCCAGAGAATAGAGGCTTCCCTCCGCCCTAATGGTCTTGCCGCTGAGTGACCCTCGGGTACAAGCTAATTCGACCAGGACAAGCGCAGGAGATCGAGCGGAACAACGATGAAGAGAGCGAGGTCAGAGATATGACCAACAATGAACGTGAGTTCAAAGTAAACGGACTATTGTGCTAAAACGGAGTTCCCCCCCCCCCGGTGGGAAAAGCGGAGTGCAAGGAGGGACGCCTCTTAAGCTCATGGACAGATTAACGTAGTGAAGGGTAGGGGGGAAATAGACAGCGAGATTTTTCTGAGAGACTTAATTGAGTACCGATAGTGAAACGACGAGTTTTTCGAGCCCTGGCAAAGCGGTTTGAAAGTGTAAACAAAGAGGAACATGACAGCTTCCCGAGGAAAGTTTAAACCGAAACCAGACAGTCAGAGTCCAAGACTGGAAGTGGGAACAGACGTCATGAAGTTGCTAGCGGATATGCTGAAGCCAGTAATGGAGCAACTCGGTGGTATTAACCAGCAACTGGCCACACTAAACCAAAACTTCGCTCTACAGCAGCGCCAGCTGGCAGAAACGGAAAAGAAAGTGGAGCAAGCAACTGAGAAAATCACAGAGATGGACACCGCGAATATGAAGAAAAGAGTGACGGATATGGAAACAACACAAAAACTTCAGGAAACCCATTTATTACAGCTCCAAATGGAAAAAGCTAATATGACTCTCAGATTTCAGGGGGTGCCTGAAACTGAAAAAGAAGATCTGAAGAAGACTCTGGGAGAGATTATTGCTCCAGTAACAGGCTTAACAGCGGATGAGATAGTAAAAGACATGGAGGCTGCCTATCGGGCATACTCCAATTATATTTTAAAAAATAGCCTGCCTGGAGAGATTGTGGTTAGATTTGCAAGAAGACAGACCAGAGATGCTATATTAAAAGCAACTTCGGCAAATCCACTGAAAATTGGGAATACAATCATTAAGACTTTAAAAGATATCCCATTTGAAATTTGTCAAAAGAGGGAAAGTTATAAGCAATTGATCTCATTTCTTCAAACCAATGGAATTCAGTATTGGTGGGCAATTCCTGAGGGAGTCATCTTTAAAGTCAACGATAAAAGAGAGAAGATTGACTCCATTTTCAAAGCTAAGGAATTTTTGAGATGTCAGCTAGGGCCGGGGGAAGAACTTAAAGAAACTAAATCAAGTGACTCTGCTACTTCTGGAACTGACAAGGACTCTGTGGGTGGAGTGGGAGCAACGAAAACTGTATATGATTTTAAAGATAGAAAACCGAAGTAAGGGCAGAGGGACTCTGTAAATTGCTCTTTGAAGTAAAGAAGATGCTCAAAAAGTACTCTCACAAAGACTAACTTACTAATATAAAAGCTATGCAAAACAAGAACTTCACAAGTATATTGTATTACTAACACTTGTATTACTTACATTTAGTTTAACAGGGAAAGGATCTCCTACTCTTGGGATTTTAGTTAGTGTGGGTATCTTTCCTTTATCCTTAGTTGTAGTCTCCCTTCCTATATTTTTCGTTGTAGTTTAATAGTCTTATGAAAAATAATAAAAATACCCCCTTGGGGGTTTCAAAAAAAGAAAAAGAAAAGATACAACTGTTCTGTTTTTCTCAATACAAACAAATGACAACTGACTATTAAACTGTTTTTGTCGTTTTTAGTCAACAGAAATTAATTCTGAGAAATGACTCTCAGACTACTACCCAGCAGTTACGATTGCTGATAAGGGGTCAAGATCAGGACTGTTTTCAGGTGAGTCATGGAAACGGATAAGCTTTTTTATATGGCAGAATATGCCCAGTATTTGAGGCTGCTTTTTCTTTAGACTTTTCTAAATAGATAGCTTCTGTGAAATGTTGCTGCCTAAGTAGAGTACTTTAATTCTACCACTTAAAATTCTGAAGTAGCAGTGTTGATCTTGGTATGCCAGTGTTCCTCTAGCTTTACATTTTGTTAGTCAATATGCTTTTGAAGTCTGGTTTTGTTACTGGGATCTTGAATGTTTCATCCTGGAAACACTTATCTGTTGCATCTAGTTGCTTCCCAGCTAACATATTTGCAACATTTGTGATTATTCATATATGTGTGCAAATTGTTGTGAAACAGTCATAAATCAAAAATAAAACATTGAGATTATCCCAGCATTTATCTCTTTATTTAAAATATTTCCCCTTCTTTCCTCTTGACGCAAGGCAGTTTATGGATGATAATTAACATAAAACATTGCAGATTAAAACCAAATTTAATTTTTTTTAAAAAAATCCTCAATACCCACCCCAGGATGGCTATCACCATACCCTATTAAAAGTCCTGGCAAAAATACCCAGCCTGGCTGATCCTCTAAAGATCTCTAGCAAGGCAGCTCCCTTGGATCTTCAAGGAAGTCCATTACAAAGAGAGGGAATGTGATGGAAAAGATCCAGGTTCTTGTTGATGCCAGATAGGCCACCCACCTCAGGCAGCAAAGCTTGGGTCCTGCGGGTAGCAGCCTGAGGTCTGTAACTGGTACACAGGAACATATGGGAGGAGAGAGTCCTTCAGGTATATGGACTCCAGGCTGTGAAGGGCTTTAAAGATCATAACCAGCACCTTGAATTGAACTTGGAAACAAACTGGAAGCCAGGTTTACGATTTCAAAATGGGCAAAGTATGTTCCCATCGGCTAACCTCTTACAATAAACAGGCTGCTGCTTTCTGCACCAGCTGCAGTTTCTGGTTTGTCTTCAAGAGCAGGCCAATGTAGACTGTGTCACAGTAATCCAGTTGCAAGATTACAAAAGCCAGGATCAGATTGGCCAGTGTAAGAAAGGAGAGGGTTAGTGGATCACTTGCAGTTGTTAGAAGGTGCTTTTGGCCAGAGGTAATGCTAGCAGGGGAGGCTGATGTTTTAGAGGGAATTGATGCTGTGGAGTTGGCCTTTGCTCAGCAGGTTAAGAGCTCCCAGGGGTTCATGGACCCATCCCTTGCTGGTTGATAATTACCTCTGTCTTTTCTGGATTAATCTTCTGCATGTTCTGTCTTAACCACCTGACTGCATTCTCAAAGGGCCAGTTGAGAACCAAGATGGACACCTCTGGAGGTTTGTGTAGTGAAATATAGACTAGGTGTCATCTGCATATTGATAATGTCCAACCCCAAAGCTCAGTTTGTGTGTTTATGTACACACACACACACACACATCATATATATTTTGTGGAACTCCACAAGACAAATCCCTCCCAGTTGATTCTGCTCCTCCAGTGAAAACTGTGTGTCTGATCATACAGAAAAGACTGAAGCCATATAAGGGCTACTCTGTAAACTCCATATTCCAACTAATGTTTAAGAAAGGTGTGACAAATTGTGTCAAAGGCTACCAGTAGATCTCAGTATCAACAGAGATGACTGTCTCCCTCACAAAATTTAAATGACAATCATCCAGTCATGCAATTAAAGCAGTCCTATTTCTAAACACAGGGCTGAAATAGGTTAAGTGCTGTTGTGTCACCCCGGAACCTCTGGAGCTGCTCTGTCATCGCACACTCTTAACACCTTCCCTAGAAAAGGTAAATTGGAGACTAGCCTATAATTGGCCACCTCTTCCTTAGCCAGTGAGGATTTTTCTAAGCAGAGGCCTAATAACTGCCTGTTTTGGTGCTCTAGGGGACGCCCTCTCAGTCAATGAGGCATTAATAATTTTCACCAGCAATTCCAATACCTTTTCCTGTCCTGATTTTAATAGCCAGGAGAGGCATGGATCAAGAGCACACGTGATGACTCACACTCCCAAGGACTCTGTCAGCCCCCATAAGCAAGATCAGCTTGACTCTGTCCGTAACAATAGGACAAGCAGGCACCTCAGACACAGAGTGAAACTTCCTTTCTTACATTTCTTACATACTTACGTTTCTCTATTTTACCTTATAATGTAAACATTTCCATGGATTGCTAGTTTGTAAAACCATGGTAAGGCATCATTTATAAGCAGCTGAGGTTATGTTTACTTCCCACTGCTAATTTGCTAATTTTCTTTAAATTAACCTCTTCTAAATTAAGATCTCATCAAATTAGCTTATGGTGTGTTTATTTTCATGTGTATCTGTAGATTAAATTTGGAGATCATGTGTACCGCGACTGTGAAATCAAAATCCAACCAAAACATGATTACGGAGTGTCCTTAATATTTACACCATCTCGTTTAGCTTGCATGTTGGCAAAGCTTGAAATGAAACAGCTTGGGTTTCCAATGCGACAAGGAATCAAGTTCACTGTAAGTCTCCTTACTTATTCGGACTTTCTTTCTGCAGTGGTGCAAGAAAGAATAACCTGGTGTATGTCTTTGCTTAGGAAGTCCTGAACCATCGCATTATTTTCTAAATATCAACCAAGACAGCAAGTTACGACTGAGCCATTATAGCCTTGTTAGAGACTTCTGAATTGGGATATTGAGGTGTTTGTGCCCAAACAGAACAAATGGTCTCTCCTATATGGATATACCTGTTAATATTATCTTGCATTTTACTTTTGCTAATACTTCAGACTCAATAAATTGACACTAAAAGGTCCTAAATGTAAGGTTAAAATGATCGTACTGATGATCCCTTGTTTATCTGGCAATTATGTTTTTAGATTCACCATTAAACTTCTTGTGGACATTGCCCAGTTGTGGTATATCTCAGTCATGTTAAACCTTTCCTTTATATTCTAGTCTTTCTATGTATATGAAGTTTTAATATGGAAGAGTGTACTAACCTGCAATCCTCAGCTTGCAACTTGAAGGGAAACAATGCAGCAGGAGCCTTACCATATCATGCCACTGTAGGGGGACAACATCTCTTAAGTTCCAGCCTAATATGTTTTGATAATTAAAACCAGCATTTGTTTATCCGTTCAGGGGATCTAGGTGCCAGGGTAGGAGAAATGTGGTATGATGATGACTGTAAGCACATGAAGGTATTACTCAGAAAGACTCTTGAAGAATTTAGAACTCATAGCCACGACCTATGGAGTATGAGGGGAAATAAAAGAACTTGATCCAGAGGAAAAAATATGTTATGATGAGAAGATGGGACTTGTTGCTTGCAGCAGTCAGCAATAATAATTCGAAGAAATCTGGTCTCTCATCTCCAGCTCATTTAAATCCTGCAGACAGCTAATGTCCTGTATACCAGCTCTGTCTTGGCAGTGTCATTTCCCCAATCTTTTTGCTGTACTTCCTAGAAATGGGTGTCCTCCAGCCAGATTAGGGGAATTACCAGATTGGCCAAATGTTTGTCCAGGGGAAATTGAAAGCTTAATTGTAAAGCTGAAAAGAGTTGTGCTCCTGGACTGGGTTTCGTCCCATCAGGACTCTTTCATTTTGAACCAGATTGGTGGAGTAAAGTATTGGCTCCTGTCTTCTCAGTAGTTAATTGATCTAGGAAAATCCCTGAAGCCTGGAAAACAGCTACAATTGCTCCACTGTACAAGAAAGGTGATAGACTGGATCCATCCAACTATCAGCCTATTAGTCTCCTTTCTACTGTGGGTAAACTGTATGCGTCTTGATTGCTCCAGAAATTAAGTGGCTGGTTATATGAAAAGGGTATTACTGGCCCTGAACAAGCTGGGTTTGCATCATCTGGCTAGGAAGTATACATTATATCCAGGTGGATGGCTATATGTGGCTTTTATGGATTTGCAAGCCACTTTTGATTCAATCTCCCAGCTATTATATGGCATTACTGTGTGGATAGAGGCATGCCATGAATCCTTAGTTTATGTATTGTTTCCTTTCCTCCAAAAGATTATTGGGACACCACATTGTGTTACTAGAATTGTTCTGAGGCTTGAATTGGGTTTACATTCACTCGAGACCCATACATGGAGGGCCTTTAGGTATTGGCTGAAAATATTGTTCACTAATGAAGGATATTTATCCCTGTTAAGAGAAGATTCTTATTCAAACCCTTGGAGGGAATTAATTGAATCAAGACTCTCACTATTAGGTTTTCAGCCTTAGGGTTGGCTTCTGCTGATACCTTAATTTTCGAGCGTTTTTTAAATGAGATCTATTTAGCTTATGTATGTAAGCTCGAAGGGTTTGTCCTTCTGTCTTCTTGGGTCTTTTGTACCTGCAAGGCACTCCTGCCTATATATTTTTTCTAAATGTGCTTTTATGCTGTCTCGGTTAAATGCAATAACATCTCAGTTATTATATGGCCGATATAAGTAATAGGCCTTATTCAGATAGGATGTGCTTGTGTGCATTGGGGCAGATAAGTCACATTGGAACACTGTCTTTTAGGATGTAGCCAATGTTCCCTCTAAGCCGAGGAGTCGTGAGAGCAAAAATTCTACTTTGTGAGCTACTGGCATTAAAGTTGTGAACAAGCAATTTGGCTACTGCATAAATTACTTTGCTCTGGAGCCATCCTTCCTGAGCTAAGACAAAAATGTGTGAGCTGGTGGCTAAAAAACTGTGAACTAGCTCATACTAACTCAGTTTAGAGGGAACACTGGATGTAGCCTATTCATGCATATAAGGAGGAAATTGATTTCTCCTTGTTTGCAAGGAGTAATTGATGTACACATAGGCAACAAATGGACATTTTTGCTGGCTGGGTCAGTTCGTAATTGTAACGATTTCATGTTTAACTGTGTGTGTGTGACTTTAAAAGTTTGGATGCATGGCTGTATGATAGTCTAGAGTAGTAGAAACAAGCAAGTGGTGTGATTGGTGAGTGACAGAGAGGGGGAGGGGTTTTGGAAGTGATGCTGTGTGGATGATATTTATGTCTATCGGGAGTGACTGTTAGAGTTTTGACAGTTGATGAGGAGAGAAAAAAGTTCAGTTAAGCTTTGTATGGGAGTTGAAGGAGAGGCTTCCCTGTGTGGGTTGTTAAGTTCTATGTCTTAGAGTTGAATAAGACAATTGATGAGTTTAGTTCTGGGGTCTGAAGGAGAGACAGTCTTGTGTGTTATGAAAAGTTGAAGTATAAAGAAACAGTAACCGTATATGGCCTGAAGGGAAAAGTGTTACAAAGTTACATGCCCAGATCCCTGACAGTGGGGAGAAAAGTGTGTGAAATATCAATAAATCTACTTTAATTTAAGATACCAGTTCTGAAAGAAATTTTTCCCAGGAAACACATAGTCCCTCGTGAACGCCTAAACCCTCGACTTACCTACCCAGTGATAGATATTATATTATAAAGGTTTGGAAAGCCTTATAAATTTCCTGGTGGCAGCCGGATTACCCAGTAGAGAAAAACATAAAAAACACTTTTAAAGGGAAACCAGACCTCCCCAGAGAAGGGGTCATCACAGTAATGCAGCCCTATCAGTTGGGGGAGGGATTTCCAGGGTAACGATAGATAGAAAATGATTGAGTGATTTTATCTTAGGGGATTGTATTGTGACTCAGCTCATGGTCCATAGGCCAATAGAGCTTTATCATTAAAGTAAATGTTTTGATAGTACTTTGCTGTTAGCTCTCCTGTGATAGTCAGAGAAATTTTAAATAGGAGCCTACTCAGGAAGAAGTGGTATGGAGTATATCTAGGTAATACAACATAGTGGCTGAGAGAAAATGAGCTGTGATCCTAGAAGCTCTCATTCTGATCTCGTGTCTGCCATTAATTCACTCAGTGGCATTAAGTAACTCACACTCAGCATCAGCTCATCGTGCCCTACCCCTGCCATCTGCAATACAAGAATAACATTATTGGCGTATATTACAGGGGTGTGGTAAGGATTATAAGATAGTGTGCTTTGAACACTGCAAGTTGTGTATAAATGGTAAACATGTTTAATAAAAATGTTGAGTAAAGATGTGGTTATGAAACATTCTAAATATTCACAGTACTTGATTGCACCCTAAGTATTAAAATTAGGTAGTATATACCAGCTATCTGGAGGTGGAGGTTGTCACAAGTTTCTAGTGTGCTTGGGTTTCATATTGCCTTTATATTTGTGGCTGGCAATTAAAGATTCTGTTACTGCTCTGCCTTTCCATTGGTTACTTTCCCCTGATCTTTTTTTATATAACGTTTTGTTCTTAGCTTCCATTGACTTAAAAACAAGTTATCTGAGTTTTGGGGCTTCTAATCCATTTACTTTATAAAGAATAGGATTTCTTGAATATTCATTTTGGTGAGGGGAACGAATTGTGGACAGGAGAGCAGATTTTTGTTGCATTCCTGTGATTCTTAATTTGAATTATGTGTATTTTTTTCCCCAGATACCCTTGTATGGATATGGGGGCAAAAGCAGTGTGATCTTAGAAAATGTGAAAAAACACTGTAACAGATACATGGTGGAATTGACTGAGCTGTCACCTGGGAAAATAAGCCAGGTTTCTTTCTTTCTAAGAAATACAGGGTGTCGGGCAGCCTATGTTAAAGCATTGTGTTTTAGAGATTTCTGTGAAAGAATTATTATGGATCCACATATGCTGAGGGTATTTCCAGAGAAGTTTGTCCTTAAAGAAGGTGAGCAGCAGGTAAGTTTAAAAACCAGTCTCAAGATTTCCCTACCATGTTGTATAAACAGGGGTCTTTTCGTAGAAAAAGAGGTGCAGGAGCTCATTAGCATATGCCATACCCCCTGACATCACCGGAAGTGTCAGAAGGCCACACACCCATGACATCACCAGAAGTGTGTCAGAAGGCAACACCCACTGCTCAGGCTCCACTAGACTGTTTTGCATTGCTAGCTATGGGGGGGGGATTGGGGGGGGGGTGGACGTGCAGATCTGTCCTCACAGAGGAGGGAAAACTTGTGCCTGAATAAAACTTGGTCTTAAAGATGCCACTGGACTGCTTTGGATTGGTAGACATGGGGGGGAGATGCAGATTTTCCCTCACAGAGGAGGGACAGCTTGCACCTGAATAAAAACTTGGTCTTAAAGATGCCACTGGACTGCTTTGGATTGGTAGACATGGGGGGGGGATGCAGATTCTCCCTCACAGAGGAGGGACAGTTTGCACCTGAATAAAAACCTGGTCTTAAATATGCCACTGGACTGATTTGGATTGGTAGACATGGTGGGTAGACACTTCTGTCAAAATCCCTGGTTGTGCTTGCAGGGAGTAGCCTCTTAACCAGGGAGATGTGGATTGGTGGCTGCAGGCCTGCAGAGAGGGAGTTGGTGACGGTTAGGGAGGGCTCTTCAGGGCCCCACGCAGCAACGCAGGCCTACAGAGAGGGGGTTGAGGAGGGCTTTGGTAGGGCCCCACGCAGCAGCGCAGGCCTGCAGAGAGGGGGTTGGTGAGGGCTGGGGAGGAGATGCAGAACTTACCTTTCTTCTCTCTCTTCTCGGCCCGACTGAGGGGAGGGTTGCTGGGAGCAGGGCTTGCTACATGTCCCCGCCCCCTCGCCTCCTCTCTCCCGGAGCGGTGCTCCGGTGAGCTCCGGCCCCAACCGAGGCCTGTGTATGAACCTGAACTCTTATTATACATGGCCTGAAAAATTCAGAATTTTTTTAAAAAACATGCTATATAGTTTTGTTCTACATTTGAGAATGTGACATTTCAGATGTAGTAGTTTCAATGAGAGGCTGTAACATGAACAATTAATAATGAAATGCTTATTTTCCCCAGAAAGTTACAGTAACATGTAACTCTACTGAAAGTGAACACAATAATGCATCAATGTTATCTACAATTTGCTTCTTCTATGGAGATGAAATATCAAGACAGCAGTATCTTAGGTGAGGCTCAGCTTTCGTTGCAAAATAACAGCATTGCTTGTATCAACTGTGCTCATCTCCTGTTGTCCTGATGAATAAGCAGTAGATGATTACTGGATTGTATTGGCTGTTAAATTGTTTAATGTGATGAGACCCAGTTTTGTTCAGAGAGTACATTGGATCCAAACCCACTTCCACTTGAGTGGGCCTGAGACTTCTTCGTCCCATGCTGCATGTTTTGTTGTTGTTCAGTCGCACAGTCGAGTCTGACTCTCCACAACCCTATGGACCTCATCAAGCCAGGCCCTCCTGTCTTCCGCCGTCCTCCAAAGTTTGCTCAATTTCATGTTCGTTGCATCATGCTGCATGACAGGTTCTCTTCTGGTCCCCTCAGGCTTTGTATTGCAGATGGGCCCAGACAGCATTTCTCGGGCTATACAAGAGTATGAGTAGTAACGATGAGCTGGGCACATAAATAAGGTGAAAATAAGAGGCTAACAAAAATGAAGACCTGATTACTATAGATCTAGTTTAGTTATATGCTTAGGATATTATTTCTAGAGTGGAATGTGTTTATCAAGTGCTCCTAAGGTGTTTTTTTTTAATTTTCTTGCTAAATTGGATTAGGCTGGCTCTTCAGGTTTACTTCCATAATCGGTTTGTATCTCCGGATGGCCTAGTTCTGTCATCTGTAGGAATAAGCTGTAGCATAGTGGGTAGTGTGTATGTTTTGTGTGCAGAAGCTCCCAGGTTCAACAAACCATCATTTACAGCTAGATCTCAGAGACCAAGTGTTGTAGAGGATCTTTCTCTTCCTGAGATCTTGAAACCACTTCCAGAAAGTAGACAATACTAAGCTAGATGGACCAACTGTCTATTCAGTATGAAGTGGCTTTGTAAGTACACATGACTTAAGGTACTAAACATTGAGCGTTCCCCTCTTGGACATCATAAACAAATACCAGAGATTCCGTAGCAAGCTGCCACCTTTCCACAATCAAGAGGAGAGATCACGGGGTGGAGGTAAAGATGCACAGAGTTTAGACAGACAATTGTGGAAAGGTAAAGATGAGCAGGACAACCATGATATATTATGCCAAAAAAAATCCACAGACTTATGAATTCTTATCCAATATTCAGTTTACTGGAGCTAATCAATTCCTCTGGAATCATTCATAATGACACCATTCTGGTTCTGAAAGATTTTGCCATAGTGCTTGCTAAATGAATTAACTATATTGAAATTTCAATGCTACACACTCTGACAAAGTTGTAAACGAAATGAGACTTGATATGCATAGTCTGTTGTGTTGATGGCGTCATTATGAATGATTCTTGAGGAACTAATTAGTTCCAGTAAACTGAATATTGGATAAGAATTCATAAGTCTGTGGATTTTTTTTGGCATAATATATCATGGTTGTCCTGCTCATCTTTACCTTTCCACAATCGTCTGTCTAAACTCTGTGCACAAAGAGACCAGAAAAAAATCAGCACCAGTCCTTGGTCTCTAGCTGAGCTGAGGAAGATTAAAACCATTCCATAGTGCTTATCCAATTTTAGGGACAGAAGTCTGTTAATCCTGACTGCCGTAGACACTTCCATTTCCAAATGGTGCTGTTTGTGGATTGTGACTGATTCTACAATGTAGAACCTCTTCTGACACCACCATACTTTCACTGTTAAATGATTTATTAGGCGTTTGCTATTGTACTTTGTCATCAACAGAACAAAATGTTCGTAGAAGTGCACTTTGAGTACAGCTACTGTTAGAGGCCATTGTTTCTCATATAGGTTTGCCTCAAGCACTAGGAGCTTTGGGATCCTACCCAAGGAAAATATGAGTGCTGTGTTCAGTCAAGATGGCTGCCAACCCTGTTACTCCCTGCAGGCTTCTGGCATGTGCTGATAACTCAGAGAAAGGGCCAGTTTGTGCAGGCTGTGGAAGTGCTTGGAAGCAGTGAAATCTCCTGCTGCTTTTGAATGTCTGCATATAACATGCAGTGAGAAACTGTTTTCTGTGTGATGCATAGAGTGGGTGAGGATTATTGCTTCATGCTGGACATCCAGAGGTAACAGTTTCCAGAAAGAGATTTATGGTCACCAGTAGCAGCCAGATCTACGATCCCTGACTATGCTGCTTGGGGAACTAAAAGTGTTCTCTCTTGTGGTGTTTAAATTATGCTCATTTTAGGCCTGCTACATTGATACACTGGTCTGTTGAGAACATAAGAGCTTATTAGCTTTAGCTATAAGTACAGTAGGATACAGGGCAAATAGGTCTATAAAAAGGAATAACTGCTTTCTGCACACTATTGTATGTATTAGCATCTTTCTCAGGATGTAGTGTAATAAAATTAATGGCACATAGACAGCCACTCTTTAAAATTGTCGCTTCAGAACTATCCAGCATAAACCACAGCAAGAACAAAATATACTGCCAGCTAATAATCCAGTGATAAATGTAAAGTTTGATGAAGAGTTCCCAGGGGAAGAATTGGTGACTGAAGGTAAGATCAGTAGTCATAGTTCAAAGTTTTCTATGAAATTCTTACAATAAAACAAATTTGGCGTATGGAAACGAACCAGGTTCACTATTACTATTGTTGGTATTTGTTAATAGGGATGGGCACAAACACGGAAAATGTGGTGTTTGGTTTGTGATGTGCCCAGTTCATGAACTATGAACTGTCACAAACTTTTAGGGGCCAAATGAACCAGTGAGGTTCAGGGTTCTCTAAAATGTCCCCCTCCCAATGTGCTAGAGACACCAAACGCGCAGGGGCTCTCTGACCGAATCGTCTCTATCTGCCTTACAAATTTGGTGAGTATTGGATTTATGGGGTACGAGTTACGGCCCCACAAAGATGGTACCCCCAGGAAAGTGCTTTCTGGGGAAATGACCGCCTGTCATTTTCCCAGAAAGCACTTTCCTAGGGTCACCTTCTTTGGGGGGCTGTAACATGGATCCCATAAATCCAATACTTCTCAAACCTGGAGGGAGGTAGAGGAGAGTCAGAGATCCCCTGCAAGTTTCATGTCTCTAGCTTGCATAGGAAGGATCCATTCTATACGCTCTTGAACCTGCACCTGTCAAAATGACAGTCAAAATGGCGGTCATTTTGACAGGCACAGGTGTATAGAACGTATCCTGTGCAAGCTAGAGACATCAAAGTGGCAGGGGATCTCCCCTGGCTGCTCCTCTATATGCCCTATGCTATATGCCCCCCTTTTGCTTTGATTTTTTTTTAATAACATTTTATACTGTTGATTAAGTTGGATTACATTTTAAGAAAAACATTCATTATTGCATTAAAAATGCTGATTCAGAAAAAAATTCAGAAAGCTGCACTCAATTATTTGTCTCCTCTTCTACAATGATTCATACACACCATTTTGTTACTTGTTTAGTCCCATTTTGAAGTCTTCCGCCTTGTCTCTCTGTTTCCCTCACTGTCAATAGCTTCATAGATGTCCTTTTTATTCTCTTGCTGTGCGTGCAAGTACCCAATGTAGGCTACGCAAAGTGTAATTGTGATAAGCCCAAAAGCCATAACAGGTTTGTTAGGTTTAATGAAAAGTTCCAGGTTCACAGCATGGAACAGAGTGGTAGTCCAGACACTTCGCAGGCCTGGAACTCGATAATATTTCTCCTTGGATGCTTCATGTTGTAAATCTGGAGGTGGAGATGCTGAGGACATTGTCCTCTCTCCGTTCCATACCAGGCTCGGCCCTCACCAGCGCTCCAATTAAACCGTGAGCAGAGGACGATGGGGTGGGGGGAATTTTGGTAAACGTTTAGATTGAGCAGAGACTGTCTGGAAGTGTTTCTGTTCATGAATTGGCACAGACAGCTTAAAAGTTTGTGCCAGTTGACCTGCCACAAACTTCACTTTGTTAACCTCTACCCAGCCAAAATTTGTCATGAACTGTAGTTAGTGAACCTGTTTGTACCCATCCCTTTAATCAGGCATGCAGCACTACTGTGCCTTATCAACTTAATTGCTTTTTCAGAGTATTGTCAAACATATAAACTAATTAATCTAAAATTGTACCAAAACTAAAGGATACTTTTCTAAATATTACCTGACACCTGGAAATATTAGTAAGCTGTAGCATATTTTTCAAAGCATCCAGACTCTCAAATAAGAGTTAAGTGTAAATAAAAATAAATAAATAAATGAATGAAGTGTACAAGAGCATAGAAAAACAGATGTTTCTGTAGCAGTGACTAGATTATGCAGTGCATTCATTAGAGCTCTACGCACACACACACAATTTGTTTGCAGCTGTACTGCCCCAAAATCAGCATCCCAAAACAAACCATTATCAAATCATTTCATACCTTTATTGGGGCCAGATACAATGAGACAAAAGTGTGCATGAGCTTTCGGGGCTTCCGGTCTGGCTCCCGCGAATGGCGGACGCATCCTCGGGTCGCTCCCGAGGTCGTCTTGCCCGCCCGCGGTGGAGGAGGGAATCCGCGAACGAGCCCCTCAGGAATGGAGGAGCTCGGATCCGGGGCGCTGTAGGGCGCACTAGGGGGGGAGTCCCTCTTTCGACTGAGAGGTCGGAGACCGAGGCTCCCGCCATGCCCTGCCCCAATGGACCTTGCTGCGTGAGCGACCCCGTTTTATGGGGTTTAGCGGAGCCACCAGACGTCACCGAGTGATAAAGCGACCATCCGAAAAAATGGAAAAAGAAAAGAGCGGCTTAACTGTGAGTTGTCAAAATGCAGAGAAAAAGAACTAAGAGCGCTACTCCCCCCCCCCCAGCGAAAAAGACGAGGAGGTTAATCCTCTAACATCATAAGCGAGAAAGTAAAGGAGGGGGGGAATGGACTGAGCGAATAGTAGTGATTTCCTTTGATGTATTTGAAATGAAGCATGAAAAAGTTTTGTTTCTCTGGAGCGCGCTTTAAGAACTTTATTAAAAGTAAACAAAAAAACAAGATGCCGGAGCTGGGTAAAGACAAGCGGAGAAGGGAGGAACTTCCGGTCTGGGCATTTGCTTATGGGTGAGAGCCGGCTGATTACTGCTTGGACTGTTTATGGCTGTGAATCTGACGGGGAATTGTGAAAAGAGAAAAGTTGAACTGTGACAGCGAGAAAGTACCTTATAAGCACTTTTAAAATTCAACAGTTGCGGAGGAGGTTCCAGCGGAGAGATTGGGAGCGTATAAAAGCGAAACCTGAATTAAATACCATTCTCAAAGCTGGAGCTTTCCTGAAATGGCAGGAAAGAAAGAGGATTTATAGTACATGAACTGAAAGTGTTAATAGCGACCCGAAGGAGGATGGGAAAAAACCCGGAGGGAGAAGAAAACAGAGGAAGCTCCTCCATGCTATCGGGAGTGTAAAAGAAACCAGCATGCAAAGAAGCGGTTCTGAAGGCGCTCTGAAGAAGCTTGTAAACAGAAATTCAAAGGAACATTACTAACATACTAACATAGATAATAACTGTAACCGGATTGAAAAAAAGAAATTTGACTGCTCACAGAAGAAGCCTAAGAAGATTAACAGTTTAATTTACCAGTTAATATATCACTCAGCTTTCTCTTTCTCCCACTATATACCCTCCCTATTTTTCTATTTAAGCGAAACACCCCTCCTTTTTAGGAGAGTCAATAAAATCTTTATATATAAAAAAAAGTGTGCATGAGCTTTCAAGTTTGTCAGAACTCTTCCTCAGACTATAGGTGTTAAAGTCTAAAAGATTGGGGGGGGGGGATTCCAGGCCTTCCCTTCCAGCATCTGTATGGTGAATGCCAGGGCTCCTCTGAGCAAGACAGAAAAAAACATGGTAATCCAATTCGAATTACAAAGGGCAGTCAGCTTCCTTTTATCTCTGACCCCCCCTGCAAGATAACACAGATCCCCTAAAGGCACACACAGTTTATTTCCTTGCAGAGACTCATCTGCACCCTCAAGGCTGCACCCTTAACGTCTCATTTTGTGACGTGGGTTTTAGAAGAAAAATTGAGTGTGTGTCTGTTGTATGTGGAAAATACTTTTGTTCTGTGAGCTTCCTCAACAACTTCATTAGTACAGATTGCAAGCCAGTCCCACTGTGTGGTGTCACCCATGTGCCTAAAACTGACTACTTCAGCTGTGCTTGTGAAGAAGTGGGGGGGGGGGGTTTGTTGAAGAATGCAAGACCTGGAACAGTCTGAAAGTCTGTTGCTGCACCCTGAAGATGTAAAATTTATAGAGATTTTGAAGCCATGAGATGTAGTAAATGTCTTGTAGTGCAATCCTGATCATAATCACATCCTTCTAAGTCCACTGGGGTAAGTGGGCTTAAGAGTATAACTGCTTAGGTTTGCACTACTAGCTTTTTACAAATTAATTGTAGATGTATGCTATTTTACAAAGAGAACTGCAGCACCATATGCCACCTTATTGCATGTATTTTTGCTACTGCCATCTGAAGGAAGGCAGAAATGAGTTGAAATTAGATTTTGTAGTAAGCAGAAGGAAGTTTGTTTGGACAGAAACAGTCCCATACAGCCTCAATAGGACTAGCAACATGTTTGGCTATAAGGTTTATAACCTTGAACTTTTCAATAGTATATTATTATACACATGGCAAACTAGTTGTGGACAAAATTAATTATTTTTAAACAATGGATATGTCCTTGAAAATATGTTCTGTAGGTTTTTATTTATACTATTGAAGGATTATGTGAGGCTATACGCAAGGATGAACAAATTCGTGGAATTAAAATAAAAGGTCAAGAATATAAAATCCAGGCCTATGCGGATGACATAGCAATCATTTTACTAGATCCATTAAAATCTGCTCCGCATCTCTTAGAAGTACTACATGAATTTGGTCAGGTAGCCGGTTTTAAGGTAAACAAGGCTAAGACAAAAATCTTGACTAAAAATTGTAGTGCAAGTACAGATCAAAGTCTTCAAAAAATTACGAATTTTGGAGTAGAAAAAAATATAAAATACCTAGGCATAAATTTAACAAACGGAACAAGTACACTAATACAAGAAAATTATGAAAAATTATTAATTTCGATTAAAAGAGATCTGGACAAGTGGTCCACCCTACAGCTTTCTTTGATGGGGAGGGTCGCCACGGTCAAGATTATTCTACTTTCTAAGGTTTTATTTCTTTTTCAGAATATCCCAATACTTAAGAATTATACCTTTATTTAAAAATTAGATAAATTAGTTTCAGATTTTATTTGGGAAAAGAAAAAACCGAGAATCAAACTCAAATATTTGCAGGAAAGGGTCCAAAAATGCGGATTCCGAGATCAGACGAGATCAGCCGTGTTCAGGGTGGTATGGCCGTAGGCAAAAGGCGGATTAGCGATCCCGGATTGGCGCCTCTATTATCAAGCGGCAGCAATGACATGGTTGTGAGAGTGGATACTCCTTAAAAATCATAGGATCCTAAGTATAGAGGGTCATAATTTAATGTCAGGGTGGCACGCCTTTCTATGGTACGCAAAATACGAAGCTCATTCGTACTTCAAACAACATCGGATAAGGGCAAGTCTAATAAAAGTTTGGAATGAGATAAAAAGTTTATTTTACAAAAAATTGCCAAGGTGGGTAGCCCCGTTGGAAGCAGTCTCGCTGCCCAATTTGATGACGGATGTCCGAGCTTTGTGTTATGATGTTTTGTTACATAAGAATAATGAGTTAAAATCGCAGGAAACTTTACAATCTCAACAGATTCAATTATCATGGTGGGAGAGAAATCAATTAATATCTAGGTATGTGAAGGACAAACAAATAGATGTATGTACAGATATGTCAGATTTTGACAAAATATTAGTAGGCACGGATGTCAAGATGATACGGAAGATATATTATTTTATGTTAGATTACAGGATGAAAGATAAGGGTAATAAAATGCCAATGATTGCTTGGGCTAATAATATAGGGAAGGTTATTGATTTAAATAAATGGGAGAAGATCTGGCAGAATGTGAGATGGCTGAAGGCTGTACCGTTAAAAGAAAATGTTTTTAAGATGTGTTACCATTGGCATCTGACACCTGATAGGATAGCCCGTTTTTATCCTGGGACTAGTAACATCTGTTGGAAGTGTGAATCCCAAGTAGGCTCATATTATCATGCATGGTGGACATGTACAGTGGTAAAAAAATATTGGAAGGAGGATCAGTTGTTAATAACTCAGGCAACGAAGTTACAAATACCATTAGATCCCAATTTTTTTAAATTAAATATAGTGCCTGAAAATTGGAAAAAGAACGAAAAATATGTGGTAATTCATTTATTGACAGCTGCAAGAATAGTTCTGGCTAAGTATTGGAAAAACGATAAGGCACCAGATAGATGGGATTTTATTAACAAAGTGGTTGAAGTGATTGAAATGGATAACTTAACACAAAAAGCTCCACGGAAATATGAATTCGACTTTTAAAAAAATATGGTCGAATGTATATAAATGGATTGAAATGAATACATAAGCAAAGAACAATTTGGCAAAAAAAATTATTTAGATATGCTTAATGAAAGGAAGGAAGAAAGGGTCTGGTCTTATGTGTTATGTCTTATGTAATGTTTATGTTTTGTTTTGTTTTGAGTATTTGTCTATATATATGTGTGTGTGTGAATAATAAAAATAACATTAAAAAAAGAAAATATGTTCTGTAGGCAAACTAATTGTGAACAGAATTTATTACAACCAGTTTGTACTTGAAAATATGTTGGATATACAGTATTATATAAGAATTATCATTTGTTATACTGTACATTGTTGGAAAAAATCAGCATAGTACACATTGTGAGTGAACAAAACTTAGTCTTAAAAAGCATTTCACTCATTTCAAAAGAAAATATTTCATAGGACTTTCTTCTGTACTTGCAAAAATTTATATTTTTCCTCTGTTGGAATTTTAAGTTTGGAGGGAGACCTCTGTTTTTTCAGACCTTCACATCTCTACCCCACCCACAAGAAACTACGTGTACATATTGTTATACGACACGTTTTACAAATGAACTATGTGTACTACCATGTAAAGTGGAATGTCCATTATCAAACTATAAGTTTGGTGTGAAATGAATGGAGTACAACTTCCAAACTGGTACAATGGAGAACTACTAGATTTAAAGATGGCAATAAACCTATTGATTGCTGATTGATGTCAGACCAAATCCCATTGGTTGCTTATTGACGTCAGACCAGTTTACAGTTGGTACAGCAATATGAAGGAATTGCACTTTTGTTCGATTAATACATTTCTCTTATTTTTAAATGTCTTTTCCTAGTATGTGATCTTCCACAACAAGCAAATGATATCCAGGTTTTTTACATAAACATGCGGAGGATTATTCTTTATGTTTATAAGGCATCTACTAGTGCTTCTTTGAATGCCTTGCCACCATCAGCACATCGTATGGCATTGGATAGGTAATAACAGATTTTTTTGGTTTAGTGTTTTTAAAATCCTGGAACAATGTTTCTCTGCCTTGGTGAACTTTACCCTGCCTAAGAAAAAGTATGTGTAGATACATTGTTGGTTTATTTCTGTGACTGCTTTAAACTTTCTCCATGGAAATTTTGGAATTCTTCCTGGGAGGAATATACCTGAAAGATACTAGGTTGAAACCCGGGGTCATTTTGTAGAAAAAAAGGTGCAGGAGCTCATTAGCACAACTCATTAGCATAACCTATTTGCATATGCCACACCCCATGACATCACCGGAAGTATGTCAGAAGGCAACACCCTCCGCTCAGGCTCCACTGGACTGTTTTGGACCAGGCCCCCGGGGGGGGGGGACTCTGCAACTTACCTGGCTGCTTCTTGCTCTGACTGAGGGCTGCTGGGAGCAGGGGGTGAGGCTTGTTGCATGTGCCCAACCCCTGGGCTCTTTACTGCCAGAGCTCCGCTCCTGTGCGCTTCTGCAGGAAATGACCCATGGTTGAAACTAAGTGCTGCTGTGGATCTTCCTAATATTTGAGCCAGGATCTTAACTTCTAGATAGCTCCCACCCACCTGATGAATCCCTGTCATCTTAACTTTAGTGATGTTTTTCATATACTCTTTAAAAAAGCCTGTTTGAGGTTGAAGGTTGTATGTTAAATTCTACATTTACTCCCCTGCTTGCTTCTCCCAGTAGTGAAACTGTGCTGTTCTGTTGTTTTATGGTTTTTGAATTCTACCATCAAAACTCTCTGCTCTTTGGTGTTCAGTTGAAATAATGCAAACACCACCTATCTATGTAGATAGTTTCAGAGGGTGGTTGTGTTAGTCTACAGTAGAACAGCTGCATTCGAGTCTAGGAGCACCTTAGAGACCAACAAGGTTTTGGAAGTATAAGCTTCCAAGAGTCAAAGCTCCCATCATCATACAAGTAGGAATGGCATCATACCACCCAAAATCTTGTTGATCTCCAAGGTGCTTCTGGGTTCAAATCTAGCTTAACTCTCTATGTAGGCTCCATTTTCTATAAAGTACTCTGTTTCTAAGTAAAGGTCATAAAATGTTACTCCTCTCTCCAGTTAAGGTATTGCTATCTAACTGTAGAAAAGATCTAACCTGAGTGTAGAAGGAAAATCTGTATGTGTGTACATACGTACATGTGCAGAGGAACAAATACTTGGCCAATATGTTCTGTCGACCAATGAGTTTAACAATTCTTTTTAAAAAAACTTTTTGTAGACCTGGTGTGCCTGAGAAGCAAAGCATGACTCTAGATGTACTCCCTGTTAAAGGCCCTCATGGTTGTGTACTTCCATCCAATACCAAAAGCCAAAATGAGAATAAGCTTGTCTCTCAGGAGACCTGGACTGTGCAGCCTGAACTTCTGAGTCTCTCAGCTCCTTCTCTTAGTAAGTAACTATGTAGAATTTCGATGCCTAGTAAAAATATTGGCCATAAGTTCTTGTCTTGGAGTAATTTTTTTAAAGGATTTTATTTTTATAACAAACATAAATACATAAACGTTTGGAGGTACCATATACATCATTGTTTTAACTGTCTTGTTACCTCATACATTGTCTACTTTGTGAATTCATATTTTCTACCTTATATGAAAATATGTTGCATTATAATTAAAAGTATAGTCCGTATTATCTTCTAATTTGGTTATATGTCCATATGGTTTATTTACTGTAATCTTCCAACCATTTGTAGAATCTTGACCATGTATTTTCAAAGCTTCCTTCATCTCATCCTCTCAAAATTAAAGTTAGTTAATCCATCTCTGCAGTCTCAAGCATTTTGTTTATAATTTCTTCTTTAGAGGGCACTTCATTTTTCCTCCAATATTTAGCATATAATCTTGCAGTTGTCAATATATGTATAATAAGGTAAAAGTCTTATTTTCTACAATTTTCTTGCATTATAGTCAATAAAAACAATTCAGGTATATAAGGTACAATACAACCTAACATTTTTTGTATCATTTCATGAATCCAAGACCAATACTTTTTAGCTTTATCACATTATCACCACATATAGAAAAATGATCCAACATTTTTTGGCACTTCCAACAATCATTTGATAAATCAGGATAAATCATTGCTAATTTTTTTGGAGTCATGTACCATCTATGAAACGTTTTATAAATATTTTCTTTGAATGAGGTTGCTTTGGTAATTTTTACATTTGTTTTCCATATTTTTAACCATTGATCTAAATCACTGGTTCCCAAAGTGGGCAATACCACCCCCTTGGGGGCACTGGAACAATCCAGGTGCATCTTTTTGTCCACTTCTTGAAGGTAGATGTCCAGAGGGGCACTGAGTAATTTTTTTTTCTGAAAGGGGGGCAGAAGGCCAAATAAGTTCGGGAACCGCTGATCTAAATCAATATTATGCCCAAATTTTGTGCCCATTTAATTTGTCTTGGAGAAATTTTAGTTGGTGATAATACTGTTCTTACATTAAAAAGTGATAAGATGAACTTTGGATGGCATTCTGCATTGTTTCAGTTGTTTGTAGAACGTGATTAGCAGTTGAATTTGGGGACTTCAGTGGTATCACCACTGTCATATTCATCAGTGCCCTTTTCTTTGTTCACAGTCTGCTTGCTAGTTCCCACCTTCAAAGAGGCAGTGAAATCTCTTTAGTCACTTTCTTTGTTAACAATATTTATTCTTGACAGCCTGGAGAGCATGCACAAAGTCCTTAATTCATCTCTGCATTCAGAGACTATTGTCTTTGGTCCCTAAATGATGCAGTTGTTAATATTGCACTTTCTTTATTAGGTGGAACAACAGACACTAGACATACACAAATAACCAACAACTCAAATAAGTCATTGAAATTTGAGCTCTCATGGCCTGCGCATTGTCTTACAATAACACCTCAGCATGGAACTATTGAGCCTGGGTAAGTATTTCTGTTACTTTTCCATTGAATTAACAGTTGGTGGTGGAAAGTGTTGTCATTGCATCTGACATATGGCAACCCTGTAGAGCCTTCAAGGCAAGAGATGAGCAGCAGTGGTTTGCCATTGCCTGCCTCTGTGTAGCAGCTCTGGACTTCTTTGGTCTCCCATCCAAGTACTAACCAGGGCTGACCCCGTGTAGCTTCTGAGATCTAAAAGTTAACAGTTGGTGGCCATTAAATCTAATAGCATGAAACTATTATAAGAACCAATTTAGAAAAAAGAATACATTGTTTGCTGTTAATAACCTCTTTCCTTGCAGAAAAATTAGTAAGAATATATAACCACATCTTTACTAATTTTAATAACAATTTTAGGCTCACTGAGTCTTTGTCAAGTGCATGTCATTTATCTTCATAGAAATATTTCTTAACAGAAGGGAGTCTGAGCCAACAATACCTGTTGTACTCTGAAACTCTAAAGGTGTACTCTACACCTACAGCTGCAGTATTTTTTCTAAGCACCATTTCTCTACCCAGACATGCAGAAAGACTCGGTAAAGGATTTGGGATACTGAATTACAAAAACTCTTAAATTTAATCTATTAATCTCCAAAAGAAAAGCCTGCATTGGCTGGATTCAGTGCCCTATCTTACACAGTTTTGCAGGACAGATGAGATATTGTGGAATAGTTTCAGGAATGCACTTGCCGTTATGAAGGTGGAGAAGTTGAACGTTGAGCAATGTACTATTGTGTTGCCCTTTCATTGTGATCTCAGAAAAGTTTTCATTACTCCTATTCTTCAAAAAAAATGCAAGGCCAACCTGAGGATTCATATGTTGCCTTTCGTCTCTCAGACCATATTCCTGGGTCTCGGGGAAAGTGGTCAGATTTTGTGAAGCTGCTAGAGCCCTTCACTGTTCTGTATTAAGTTAATGAATATTACCTGCTCATTTTAATACAGTTTATGTAACCTTTCATGTATTAATGCTGCTGTTGTATTGGTCTTTATCCGTAATAAGTAATACATGCATGCAGAAAGATAACATGTTTGCATATTCTCTGTTCAGGTAATTTGATCTAGCACTAGTGCCGCAATATTTCCCTTGTAGGAAAAGTGATAAAACATTGTTAAAATGTTACCAGACATTTTAAAACTAATGTAGGTGTAGGTTTTTTCCTATCTTTAAGACTCACTGTTCAGTTGTTCAACTTGTTCCTAGAAGCTGCATTTCAATTTATGTGAGCCCAAATCCATCACTCGCAGAAAACAATTCCTTATTTCCATGGAGTGGTCTTATTTACATACATTGTGATAATGAACAAAAGGTAAGTGGCTTACTTTTGTAGCTGCTAGTTTGGTATCTGACAAAGGGCACTTTGACTCTCAAGAGCTTATAGCCCAAAAATCTTGTTGGTCTCTAAGGTGCTGCTGGATTCGCATCCAGCTGTTTGTAGGGGCTGTAATTCTTGAAAACTGATTTTCTGCTATAATATTCATGTCTTTAAACATACTGGACTGAGACAAATATATAGGATTTCTAGATTCTCTATATTCTACCTCTAAAAGTGTTTGGTATCACCCCATATTGTAACTTGAATTCCTCCACATAATTTGCTGCTTATCACAAAGAGCATTTAAAGAAGCTCTGTTGGACTGAAATAAAGATACATCTATTCCTACATTCTCTTTTCAACGGTGGGCTTTTAAAGTAATTTAAGATAGGGGTCATCTTTGGCAGCAAGTAGCAGGAGCAGGGAAACTGGTAACATCACTTGGACCCAGGCCTCCTGTAGATAAACAGGTGGCAGCAGTATCTTTCACTGACTTCAGCTGGTGAGCCAGCTGCAGCCCATCCTGCACAGGAAAGATCTTACCACTGTGGTGCATGCCTTGGTAATATCTAAACTAGATTACTGCAGTGTACGTTATATGGAACTGCAGTTGGAGACTGTCCAGAATCTACAGTTAGTACAGAATGTTACAGCCAGAGTGTTGAATGGAGTGGGTTGTAGGGGCCATATCTATTGATCTTTGACGTGGTCTCTGTGCTTCACACCCATGGGATACAGTGCGCCTGCGCTGGATCGATCGGTATTGTAGCAAGCTCTTAACAAATTTTTGCGCCCAGACCTCAGGCATGCGCAGGAACCCCACCACGCATGCCCGGAGGGGTGTGGACATCCCGTCAGTTTCTTTCTTTCTGCCGCACTGGAAGCACCTTCCTTTCGTCGGTCAGATCTAGAAGTAACATGGCCTCAGGATGCTCCAACATTAGGGCCCTTACATACTCCTCTAGGGACAATCAAATTTTTTCTATCTCAGATTTTTTACGTAGAGGGGGTAAATAGCTGTTTATAATTGTCAGGTTTTTTTCTTGCCCAAGATAAATTCACAGCCATCGCCAATTGCCCCAAAGGAGATTTTACTATACATTTTACTTTTAAAGATGTCGATATTAAAATACCCAACTCTCCTTTCAGTCACCCCGGCCCACACCCTGGTACTGCATTAACTCTAAAAGAATTAAAACCTTCTAAAACTAAATCAGCATCTGACCAAGTCTCCTGTACAAGAATAATACCATAATTCCGGTGGAAGAAAATAATATCTGGGTACTGAGAGATGCATCGTGTTCCTCCAGCCACATTCCAAGATAGAAGTTCAAGGGCAGCAGTCTCTTTCTGAGTCCCTGTGGATTGATACTGTCATGCTTGGGAAACCGTTCTCAGGGGGATTTCTTGAGTTTCCTGCTCAGTTGGCCTAGGAGCCATGTCTTCTGAATTTGTTCAGAAGGTTAAGGTTTGTTAAGGTTGTTAAGGTTAAATCAATAAAAGCCCCTCCTTCTGGGATCTTGCAAGTCTTTGGGGGCAGCTGCATATCAAGTGCTTGTTGGATAACCTTAGATGACAAAGAAAGGTCCAGAGTAAAAGAGGAATTGTTAAAGGACTTAGAGGTCTCAGGCTGTTGGATAATATTTTCTTGAGTATTACGGCATTGGGGAGGAGATGAAGTATCCATTGAAGTGGTTTTGTTGTTGTTCAGTCGCACAGTCGAGTCCGACTCTTCGCGACCCCATGGACTAGATCCCACCAGGCCCTCCTGTCTTCCGCTGTCCTCTGAAGTTTGCTCAGTTTCATGTTCGTTGCATCAATGACACTGTCCAACCATCTCATCCTTTGCCATCCCCGTCTTCTTTGATCTTCAATCTTTCCCAGCATCAGGGTCTTCTCCAGTGAGTGCTCCCTTCTCATTTGGTGGCCAAAGTATTTGAGCTTCAGTTTCATTATCTGGCCTTCCAGGGAACAGTCAGGGTTGATTTCTTTGAGGATTGACTGATTTGTTCTTCTTGCAGTCCAAGGGACTCTCAAGAGTCTTCTCCAGCACCATAGTTCAAAAGAATCTATTCTTCGGCGCTCGGCCTTCCTTATAGTCCAACTCTCACAGCCATACATGACTACTGGGAATACCATTGCTTTGACCATGCGGACTTTTGTTGGCAGGGTGATGTCTCTACTTTTTATCATGCTGTTTAGGTTCGCCATCGCTTTCCTCCCAAGGAGCAGGCGTCTTTTAATTTCATGGCTGCAGTCACAGTCTGCGGTGATCTGGGATCCCAGGAACGTGAAGTCTGTCACTACTTCCACAGCTTCCCCTTCTATTTGCCAAGGAGTGATGGGGCCGGATGCCATGATCTTAGTTTTTTTGATGTTGAGCTTCAAGCCCACTTTTGCGCTCTCCTCTTTTACTCTGAGCAAGAGGCTCTTTAGATCCTTTTCACTTTCAGCCATTAGAGTGGTATCATCTGCATATCTGAGGTTGTTGATCTTTTCCCCAGCAATCTTAATTCCCGCTTGTGATTCATCCAGGCCAGCATTTCGCATGATGTACTCTGCATATATATTAAATAAGCAAGGTGACAGTATACATCCTTGTCGTACTCCTTTTCCTATGCTGAACCAATCAGTTGTTCCGTATCCGGTTCTAACTGTCGCTTCTTGGCCCTTATACAGGTTTCTCAAGAGACATGTGAGGTGGTCTGGTACTCCCATCTCTTTAAGGACCTGCCATAGTTTGTTGTGATCCACACAGTCAAAGGCTTTAGCATAGTCAATGAAGCAGAAGTAGATATTTTTCTGGTACTCTCTTGCTTTCTCCATAATCCAGCGAATGTTGGCAATATGATCTCTCGTTCCTCTACCTCTTCGAAACCCAGCTTGTACTTCTGGTAGTTCTCTATCCACGTACTGTTGAAGCCTAGCTTGTAGGATCTTGAGCATGACCTTGCTAGCGTGTGATATGAGTGCAATTGTGCGATAGTTTGAACATTCCTTGGCATTGCCCTTCTTTGGGATTGGAATGTATACTGATCTTTTCCAATCCTGTGGCCACTGTTGCGTTTTCCAAATTTGCTGGCAAATGGAGTGCAGCACTTTAACAGCATCATCTTCTAAGACTTTGAATAGCTCAGCTGGGATACCATCACCTCCACTAGCTTTGTTGTTAGTAATGCTTTCTAAGGCCCATTTAACTTCACATTCCAGGATGTCTGGCTCGAGGTCAGTGATTATACCGTCGTGGTTGTCAAGGACATCGAGGTCTTTCTTGTATAGTTCTTCTGTGTATTCTTGCCATCTTTTCCTAATCTCTTCTGCTTCTGTTAGGTCCCTACCGTTTTTGTCCTTTATCATGGCCAGCTTTGCATGGAACGCTCCCTTGATTTCTCCAATTTTCTTGAAGAGATCTCTAGTCCTTCCCATTCTATTGTTTTCTTCTATTACTTTGCACTGTTCATTCAGGAAGGCCTCCTTATCTCTCCTTGCTGTTCTCTGGAAATCTGCATTCAGTTGGGTAAATCTTTCCTTTTCGCCTTTGCCTTTCGCTTTCCTTCTTTCCTCTGCTATTTGTAAAGCCTCATCAGAAAGCCACTTTGCTTTCTTACATTTCTTTTTCTTTGGGATGGTGGTGATTGCTGCCTCCTGTACAATGTCACGAACCTCCGTCCATAGTTCTTCAGGCACTCTATCTATCAAATCCAGACCCTTGAATCTATTCTTCACCTCTACTGTATATTCATCAGGGATGCGATCTAGGTCAAACCTGAATGGCCTCGTGGTTTTCCCGATTTTCTTCAGTTTAAGTCTGAATTTTGCAATGAGTAGCTCATGATCTGAACCACAGTCAGCTCCAGGTCTTGTTTTTACTGACTGGATAGAGCTTCTCCATCTTTGACTGCAAATTATATAGTCAATCTGATTTCGGTGTTGCCCATCTGGTGATGTCCATGTGTAGAGTCGCCTCTTAGGTTGTTGGAAAAGGGTGTTCGCTATGACCAGTGTGTTCTCTTGACAAAACTCTGTTAACCTTTGCCCTGCTTCATTTTGCTTTCCAAGGCCAAACTTGTCTGTTATTCCGGTTACCTTTTGACTTCCTACTTTAGCATTCCAGTCCCCTATGATGATGAGGACATCATTTTTTGGTGTTAGTTCTAGGAGGTGTTGTAGGTCTTCATAGAACCGGTCTACTTCAGCCTCTTCTGCATCAGTGGTTGGGGCATAGACTTGGATTACTGTGATGTTGAATGGTTTGCCTTGGAATCGGACAGAAATCATTCTGTCATTTTTGAGATTGTATCCCAGTACTGACTTTTGCACTCTCTTGTTGACTATAAAGGCCACACCATTTTTTCTACGAGATTCCTGGCCACAGTAGTAGATATAATGGTCTTCTGAGTTAAATTCACCCATTCCTGTCCACTTTAGTTCACTGATTCCTAAGATATCGATGTAATGTTGCACACAGGGATTGTTTCAATTCACTAACTAGATTGGGAGGAGATTTGGAGCATAATGTTGATTTTCCACTGCAGTCCATAGAGGACACCATAGCTTTGTCCATATGCTGTTGCTTCTGGGTTTCCTGCGAGTCCCTATCAAATGGATCACGGCCACCACCACACAGGAGGAGAGGGCTCTTTCTTGTGTCCCGGAAGACTCTAATTGGACGAAAGCCAAATGTACCTAAGAAGCCTCTCATCTTAAGCAGCATCCATGGGATAGTGGGTTGTCTAAATAGAAGAACCAGTCTTCTGATTGTAGGAGGTTTAGGAAGTCTTTCAATTTGTTCTAAATCAACCTCACCTGCCTCCAACCTGCCTCAATAAGCGGCATAATGAAAAAATCACTTCTTGTCTGCTGTCCCAGCTGCTTGCATTTACTGCAATCTGAGCAATTTCCAGGGCAACCTGAGAACTTTTCCATATCAGAGAGTCCTTAGAAGAGGGCTGGTCTGCAACTTCATCAGTTAAAATTGGAGGATGGCAGGAAGCAGCATCAAAGTCTCTCTTTTGTAGTAGCTTAAAACCAGCCTCTCCTTTGGGTGAGTGTTCAGACGCTGCTGGATATAAAATGCCTCCTTCCAAATTTCTCTTAAGTAAGTTTTCCAGACTGGTCAGATTGGCTGATATCATATTTAGTTGCTGGAAGATGGCTATGACTGTCTCAGCCGTTAGAAGACAGTGATCACCAATCAGTTTGGTTATGTCTGCTTTTGAGGTTTCTCTATTTTCTCTTAAAGCTGTAGTGTTTATAGGACTTGAATTCAGAGTAGGTTTCTGGAGGGAAATAACAGTCTCTCCCACACTCTCAACAAAAACCTCATCATTCAGGAATGGAACTTGCAGGGAACTAGAGGGATTCAGGTCTTCTGAGGACTCCAATACACCAAACCTGTTTTCCGAAGGAGGAATCCCCTCCCACAGAACTCCGTCATGCGAAGCGGCTTTGAAAATTTAATGTAAGATGTTACTGGAGAGCCAGAATTCGAATCATTTCCATTTCTTTTCTTAGTCATTTTTTGGCTGCAGTAGGGCAGCACACAATGGCAGAAGGTTGTAGCAGCTAGTCTCTCTGTAATTGGAAACTTTTGAAAAGATTTACAGCTGCCAACCAGGTCAAGACAAACGACTCCCTTTGAACAATTTTTACATGAAAATAAGGAACAGTCACTTGGATTAATAACAAACCTATATAAATTTCTAAATGAGATAGACGAAGAAAAGCAAAAACTTTACCAAAAACAATGGCAATTAGAACTACAAACTCAATTAACAAATGAAGACTGGAACAAGATTTGGGCAGCACCAAGTATAACATCAAAAATATTTATTATTAAACTCCAAACTATGAAGATAATAACAAGATGGTACATGTGCCCAACCACACTATTTAGAATAAATAGCTTAAACTCACCTGAGTGCAAAAAACAATGTGGTCAATCAGCCAATTTTTTACATTGCTGGTGGACCTGTCCCTTGATACAAAAGTTTTGGATTGAAATTTTGATTAAAATAAAGGAAATTATACAGATTGAAATACCTCTTGAACCTGGAGTGATTTTATTAGAACATTGGACAACATTAAATATTATAAAAAGACAAAAGGAACAACTCTCAGTTTTGTTGACCATAGCAAAAACTTTGATAGCAGTAAAATGGATCAGTAGACAAGTACCCTCTGTTCAACAATGGTTAAATAAAATCTGGGACTATTTTATTTTAAGTAAAATGGCTTATAACTTCACTAATTTTCCATTAATTCAATACCAGAACAAGCTGGTTAAGACTTGGTATCCAATAGTTGGTTACCTAATGGAATAAGATTTTCTTTCTCAAAATCCTCTGTATCAAGATATGATTTATTTTTAATTGTTAAAAATTATTTGTTTTATGTTTATCTGTATAGATGTTATTGTTAAAAGTTAAAAATTGTTAATAAGAAAGAAAGAAAGTCAACCTTGCAAGGTTGTACACTTACAAGGCGAGTTTCAAAACAAGTTACTTTGGTAGCTGTACCTCATGTAAGCTGAAGTACTGGATTCAGATTGAAGCCCCAGAGTTCAAGAACACCACAAAATATAATTAAAGTTATTTATTAAAAGTCTCTGCAGGAATATACAGTAAAAGAGCAGTGAACTGTGAGAATAAAAGTTATAAAGCTAAATAACTAACCTAAGCACTTTTACAAGCATCGGTTCCAATCTAAGACTGAGTCCAAGATAATTCCAAAGTCCAAGTCAAACAGCTGCCCAGCTGTTCTGGCTCACCCAGTGTAAAGTGTCCCAAAACTAGTTGTATACCAGATAGAGGGTGAAAGTAGAATAAAAGATCTTTCCTCATAAACTGTATTGGTATGATTCTGGTTGACCAATCAGGTGTAGACCCAATAATGTAACTTAACTAACCATTGGTGTTACTAACCAGATGACTCATCCAGTCTGGTAAGCTCTGACATTCTGCAGCTGCATCATATCCAATTAAGCAAATACCTTCCTCCAACACATAAACATTTACATTAACAAGATGGAATTAGGCCCACTCTGGTGGCCTTGAAACTGCTCAGCCCAATTATCTACCGAGCTCCTGTGAAAACCTCCTTATTTCTCCTTCTGAAGCTAGTCAGCTTGACCTTGGTTTCTCAAGGACAAGAAAACTTTCATGTTTTTTCTAGGCCTCAGCCTGAACCACTGTTTGAATTTTGAACAAGAGACTATGAAAAGGGCCTAGTCTCTTGACAAGGTTTTCCAGTGGATCAAAACCATGGAATGCACATCAAAGGAGCCTTATTCTTACTGATATTCATGAATGAGAAAGTAACATCAAAAAGTAACTACTGGCAGCCTTCTGAGAAGAAACTGTTCTGCTGCTGTAAAACCCTCTTTATAATATTTGGACAGCAATCCAAAGGACAGGAAAAACTTCTGTTGTATCCAGTGTTCCCTCTAAGCTCCACAGTGTTGTAAGCAAAAAAACCTCATGAGTGAAAAAAGCTAGTAGCATTAAAGTCGTGATCGAGTCTACATTTGACTATTGCATAAATTAGTTTCTTAGAAAATTATTTCCATAATCTTGTAAAAATCTCAGAAGGAATTCTTTTAAACTATAGTCTAAGAATAATTTAAACATTATTTAAAAACATTATTTAAAAACAGAATCAAGTCAAATTTCATTACAGAAAATGTTATCCTCTATGGGGGTAGACCAGGCCTCCAGAGAACAGGTCTACCTGCCCCTTTCCACTATATTAGTAGACCTGGCCTCCAGAGAACAGAGGCGTCCCTTGCCACTATATTGGTAGACCTGATCTCCAGAGAACAGGCCTACTTGCCCCAGTCTACTATATTGATAGACATGGCCTTAGACCATCACCCTGCACTGAGCCTTAGGAAGCATACCAGCATGGAGGGGGGGAACACTTGCAGCCTCCTTTCTGGTGGGAGGAGGAGGTTAGTGAAATATAACAACCAGCATTACAGGTCAAATATAACAGAGGTGGAACCCTGTCTAACCTAACAACCAGGAAGTTGCTTAAATGTTATCAACCTGCCCAAACTACTTATTTATTCAGATATTTATATCTCACTTTTCCCTGTGACTCAAGACAGCTTACAAATCATACTGAAAAGCATAATAGGGGTGTGCAAAATAATAATAATAATCTATTTTCCTCACTCCATTATAGCCTATGGGCACCATTATAGTCAGTGGGCCCATAGGCTGTAATGCAGAATTGATCCAGGGTATCTGGGGCTCTGAGGGGGCTGTTTTTTGAGGTAGAGGCACCAAATTTGCGACATAGCTGCTGGTGCCTCTCATCAAAAAAAACCCCAAGTTTCAAAAAGATTGAACCACAGGGTCCAATTTTATGGGCCACAGAAGGAGGTGCCCCCATGCCCCATTGCTTCCAATGGAGGAGGGGAAATCCTCAGTTCATTTATCCTGCACTGTTGGCTAAGATTTGTGTGCTAGTGCTCCCTAGCATAGCTTAGAAGGAACTTTGGGGATCTCTTGTAATATTAAAGTGACAGACAGCATCACTTTCTGCTTTTGTGCAGGAATTTGTTTACAATATGTGTGACTTAAAGTTGAAATTGTACAGGACTTTTCTGTCCATATGACTTTCACACTGTATTTGACTCTAAAGTACGGGTAGTCATTAGTCCTATACCATGGTCAGAATTTGTGGGCTAGTTTGCTGCTTTCAATAGAAATCAATATGTAATAATGTATAGATCAGATACTTTGAGAACAACAACGAATACTTCTTTCTTTCTTTCTGCATAGATTGTTAGAGTACAAATTCATGAGAATACCTCTGAACAATCTAGAAGGAATCCAACAGTTCCTAATTTAGGTCTCCGTCATCATCACACTGAGCTTCCTGTTAACATAATAAAACCACTTCAAAAGCCACCTTCCACACAGATTGAGATTAAGAATCGGACTCTAGTCTTTCCTGAGACAAAGTCTAGTGAAAGCTCAGGTAAGTGCTGACTTGGAAAAGTTCCATTTGAATCATCCATTTTGGAAGAATAAAATTTATTCAGCCTAGACTGATTCTTCTGAAGTTATTTTCCATTACAGTTTGGCCTTACATGTGAAGCAAACATAAACATTGGTGTCTGTTTTATTTAGAACACTTGTAATTTGTGTTTGGCTAAAACAGATCCCCAAGCGGCTTAAGGAAAAAGGTTAATCCATAAAACAATTACAATAAAATAAAATTGAAAACAAATGTTCTAGGTCTTCTAGGCATAAAATGCAGTAGGGGAAAAATTGGGCAAAACAGATGTCTTTTGACATCTTTCTAAATACTGCCGAGAAGGGAGCCAGATGGATTTGCTGGGGCAGGGCATTCTACAGTCTGGCACCACCTGAGCCTCTCATGCATTGTCAGACAACAAAAAGGTATCACAGAAAACAAGGTGATCTTGATGTAATGTTGGATAAGGTATTCTTTGAAGTGTCTGTTCCAAATTGTTTTAGGGCTTTAAAGGTAAAAATTGTATTTTGAATTGTGCCTGGCAGTCCATGTAGGTGGATTAAAATAGATGTAATACAACCCATGTGTTGAGTTCAGAATAACAACCAGGCACCTACAATTTGCCCAAATAATCATATCTTTCCAGCAGCTTTCACCAGTCAAGAAGAGCTAAGTTAGAGACTAGTGTTTGTTGTCCAGATACCTCCAAGGATCTGGTCTAAGTCCCAAGGTTGCACAACCTGAAATCTGTCCAACAGAACAGGATGAACACTTACTGTGGGACTAGCTGGTAGAACCACTGGTATCTAATGTGGCATTTGGGTCCAACCAGATACTGTCCTGCACAACAATCACAGCAAGCCTCCAAGTGAAATCCTTGGAAGTCCATTATGGAGCAAGCCCTTAACTACTCAGTAATACTCTGAAGCAGACACTGTGCAGATGCAATGATAAGTAGTCTTTCTTTTCCACCGCAGAGTTGGCTTTAACATGAACTCTAGCCTGCAGTCTGTTAGATTTGGTTCAGGTCTTTCGCTACTCATTCCACTCATCATTCATGCTATTGCTTTCCCCCCCAGCTTCTCAAACCATGATGTGGAATGGCTTCTGGTCAATGGAAGGAGAGCATTAAGAGCAGTCATATCAAGCAACAGATATTCCACAACACTGTTAGAGCTTCCAGGCTGCCATCCATGTCACTAGGAATGCCTCCCCACAAATATATAGATAAGGGAATTAAGTTTGTAACAGTGAATCCTCTAATGAGTGGATGTTCCTTTCCTGTTTCTAGGTTATTGATAAAAAATTTAGCTTGGTTTATGAAGGCAACAACAATGGCACAATATGTTTGTGTCCTAATCTTGCAGTGCATAAAAATGAAGTTGAAAGTTAGATTAGCCTGATGTTTACATGAGATCTTTGTAAATTGTTCTTCTTGTGTGGTACAGTAAATTGAAACAATGTCATAAATTCCATCATAGTATGCAGTAACAAGCATTTATAAATACAAAAATGAAGAACCCAAAATAATTGCTTTTTCAAGAAGAGTCTTATTTGGATTATTAGCAAACTTTGAATATCATTCTATGGTGTTATTTTCAAAAGGTACATACTATATAACTTGCCTATGATTATCTGATTATTTTCTTACAGAGAAATTCCTAGAGTTTGAAAATAGTGGGAATGAAAATGTTAAGTGGTTTTTGACATCTTTTGCACCCCCTTATGTCAAGGTGAGTAGACAATTGCAGGAACACTGTCTTTGGAAGCTCAGAATATGTCCACCATACCCTGAAATGCTTCTCAACAGAACCTCTCTGATGTTAACATGCAGCTCATCTTTCTAGAATGACCTTGAAACAGAATGGAGCACAAGACTCTGAAACAGCTTAAAATCCTGTAAACTAGCTCATGGGTCCTTGGCCTTTTAAAGCCTGCAGGCACTTTTGGAATTCTGACACAGGGTGGTGGGCACAACCACAAAATCTCTGCCACAGGCGGTGGAGCCAGTCACAAAATGGCAGAATTTAAGAAAAGCCAATGTTGGATCAGACCAATGGCCCATCCAGTCTAACCCTCTTTCACACAGTGGCCAAAAATACCAGGTGCCATCAGGAGGTCCAACAGTGGGACCAGGACACTAGAAGCCCTCCCACTGTTGCCCCCCCCCCAGCACTAAGAATACAATGCATCACTTGCCCCAGACTGAGAGTCCCTATCTATACCTTGTGGCTAACAGCCACTGATGGACCTCTGCTGCTCCATATGTTTATCTAATTCCCTCTTGAAGTCATCCATGCTTCTAGTAAAGGGAGTACAGTTATAAATAACTCTTAATAGTAATTGTTAGAACCTGGTCTTGCTTAGTTCAGCCAAGTCCTCTTTTTGGTCTGGAGTGCCATCTAGAATTATTCTGTTTGTGGCAGGTAAGCATTATACACAGCTAACTCAATATACTCTGGAGTGATTGTGAATGTAATTTTTAAACTCTTATTCCCTAATTTTTTATTTGCTATCTGAATAGATACTGAAACTGACACCATTTTCCTGAAATTCATTATATATTCAGTTAGAAGTAATTCACTTGTGATGTGATTGTTCCAAAGTTCTTTAACCAAAACAACTAACTTTACAAATGATTATTTCTTTTTAGGGTGTAGGTGGAAGTGGAGAGGTTTACAGGGCTACATATACAGCTTTTCAGTGTTCATGTAGTTCCGGTATGCTTGATGCTCGTGGGAAAGAGAAAGTAAGTTTGCTTGATTCTAGATTATTCTAGTGATCTAAGTTGTATATATTTTGACCATTGCATTGTTTCATTATGTTTGGCTTCAAAGAAAAGTAGCTTAGTGTGCCAAACAGATAACAGAGTGAAATAAGTCACATTTGTATTCAAGATTCCATTTTGTAAAGAAATTAAGAATAGTGGTAAAAGCATATAATTTCTTGGGTCTTCTCAAGTAGGACTTATTTTGATTCAAATATGTGCCAGGCACTTCTGTTCAAAATATTGTATACTTAATTTTCCCCCATTTGAACGAAGTGCTGTGGTGTAGCTGGAGGAGCCAAGGCAACTGTATAAGCGGAATTCTGGTGTCTCCACAGGGTGGCCCACAGCACCCCTTCAGCACTCTGGTGGGAGCCAGTGGCCTTTGGACACATGGTATAGGCATCTTCCTGGGTAGAACGGTTGGCTCCCAAATCCATTTGATTTGTTTATGCCCCTGTCCTGCAGTCTGTGTTCTTTGTCTTACACAGCTACTAGTGTGTAGGGAGTTTTTCTACCTTTTTTGTTCTTTCTCCCCTCCTCCTGAACAAAATAGTATTTCTTGCCCATGAACAGGGTATCTGATTTTTAGGGGGAATGTGGTCATGGCCTTGACGTCTGCCACCCAGCACCCGGTCTTTAATCCTAAATCTGTGATCTGGCATCCAAATGGTGTAACAGTTTTCATCATCTGGACAGAAGAAACAATCAAGCAATGCCACTTGAGCATTCCTGTCATGGGGACAAGGAAGGGTCCTGACACTAGGGCTTAAGTTGGAATTTGCATCTGGTTTTCAGTATCCTTACTGAAACTTTATCTTCTTTGCATTGAGGCTGTACGAATGATGAGGAAAGCATTTGTTGGAATATATTCTTTCCATGGATATACAGTTAGCCTTATATATACTGTATTTCACAAGTACTAGTTTTGTGTTAGTGAAACACTTTCACCAACTACTAAAAAATAACGGATTGGATACTAAGCAACCCTGAAGGTGGATCTTCCCTTCTTCTAAATGTCAGTGCTGATGGAAGTAGAACCTGCATGGACTGAAGGCCACACGAAACAGAAAGTGCAGTGAAGTGGAAATAGAGTCACAACTGGTCTTTCGACCTTTTGCATGAGGAGCCTCAGACTGCTAGCAGATGCTTCTTGATCTGGTTGAAAAGAAGCATACGTTGCCATCCAGGAATATTACAAATCAGCTGCTTGTTTAAAAGTAAACTTCTAGTTTCACGATATCCTCCTTCTCTTCTGCCTTCAGTAGACTTTTCCTTAAATAGTATTTCAGTGTCATTCTTTCCCTTCCAACGTTGTCTTTTTTCCCTTAGCATTTAATCATTACAACACACAAATGGAGACCCACATTAAAGTTGTGAGCGAGCAATTTGGTTACTGCATAGATTAGTCTGCTCTGGAGCCATCCTTCCTGAGCTAAGACAAAAATGTGTGAGCAGGAGGCTAAAGAACTGTGAGCTAGCTCACACTAACTCAGCTTAGAGGGAACACTGCCTCCCACCACCAGCCCATCCCTCTCTTTTTTGTCCCTCAGCTCTGTCTTTGTTTGCCCCCATGTTGCCACCTCCTGCCTGGCTCATCCAGCTCTCTTGCTCTTCCTGCCACCTCCTCCTGTCTCCAGCCTCTGCTGTGTTTTCCTGCCCCCTCACACCACCCAGCCTTGGTTTCTCTGTCACTTTCCCCACTGCCTTGTCCCTTCCACCTGTTCTGTCACAGCAGCACCTTCCAGCTGCTCCTGCTGGTGTATTTGGAGTTGCTAAGCAACCCTCAAAATAGTGGCCAAGATTGTGCAACAATCCAAAATAATAGATTTTTCTCCCTGCAAAGTAACCTTTTTATAAAGCTTTAAAAAATTGTGTCCGTTTAATTTCTCATTTTTGGATTTTTGTCTGTACAAACATCCCCCCAGTCTGTCCAGGCCTCAGTTTCTGTGTTCTTTGATCCGCACTCCATGGGCCAGATTCTGTAATTTGGTATATGGTATTATGTTAAAAGGGAATAGAGAGTGAAGGAGTTAGGATGAAAATGTTAGGCTGCATGGATCTTTCAGGTTCATTGATCAAACTACAAATTTAAGAGGGATATTATATCTTGATTCTGAATCCTGGCTTCATGGGTGGGAGTGTGTTACTGAGATTACTGATTAGGGTAGTGCTGGCAGAAGAAAGGCCTGCTTTCATTAAAAATACAGTTCAGTCAGGTTTGGAACAACGCTAGAAACTTACGTAAATATATGACTTGATTTATTTCTTGTTAGGTTGTTGTCACTTTTTTGCCAAGAGACAGAGGTGATTATTCTCAGTTCTGGGATCTTGAATGTCACCCACTTCATGAACCTCACCTGAAAGACAAACACAGACTTCAGTTTTCTGGAGTGGTGAGTACAGGAACAACTTATGTTTTGTCGGATGAAATTCACAGTTGGTTGCATTCTTATCCCCTGCTAAGATGGAATGAAGAAACCAGCATTTACTGATGATTCTAGTCCTAAGATTTTGTGATATTTTTAGATGTGATTAGCATTATTTTCACACATCATTTTACTTGCTCTGTGCTTCCATGGTTTTAGCTGTGATTTTTAGCTGCTATCTTGCTGATTGGTTTTTAGCTGTCTTATATCGTTGCTGCTACATGTTCAGTAATGCAGTCTATTAGAAGCTGCCTCAAGTACTGTATTTGGATGGGTAGAATATAAACATTTTAAAGGATAAATGGGAGAAGGCTATGGGGTTGTTGCTGTTTAAATGTAATTCACTAATTGGGTAACCTCCTAGAAAACCAAAGTACCCTCATGATGACAGATATTTTTGGTGCTAATGTCATTCCATTTTCATTCAAGATTGAAAGTTAATAGAAAAAGTAGGTATTGAATTATAAAAATAATATATGTGGGTTTTTTTGCCAATTTTTTAAAGGATTCTGGCAGCTGCGTGTTTATACATATCATATGTCTAAGTAGTACATGTCATAAACCTGCTCTGGGTCTATGTGTGCTTACATGCATGTTGATGTTTGTGTGCATGTAAACCATGTTCCTCTTCCTTGTGCCACTACCCCAAGTTAAAGATCCATCCTTTCATGTTACCAGTTACTTGGGGGATACTAGTAAAGGTTGCATCTGAGCAAGTACAAAGGGCAGAGTTTTCCAGTTACTTCAGCCCTTCTCCTGTGTTCGCATTTTTAAGCATGTTCAGAGTGAATGAGTGATGTAAGGCACAGGAGGAGGACTCTGAAGCACTGCTGTCTTTAAACAGGAAAAACTTTATTGCTATAGATTAAGCTAGAGCACAAGATGGGGAAAATAATCTTCTTATGGTTTACAGGTGGCTTACAGGTGTAATGAAAGGAACAGGAAAACATAACACTAAGCTAAACTTAACAATATAGAAGATTTACCTCCAACATCCCTCCATGGATGCCTGTGGAACAAATGCACATCCTGACCCCATCCCCCACCCTTCTGCTCCATGCAGGAGAGTCCGACCTCCAGCATTTGAACAAAGACTAATGGACATTACCAGTCTTTTAACCCTTTCTGCCTTGGTTGGCAGGAAGCCTCTACCCAATCCACATTTAGGGAGCTCACTCCCACATGGGAAGGTGAACCCCAATCAACCCAGAGTGATTCCAATCACAACACATCTCAGTACCCAGACCATGTTTTACAACAGCTATCCATCTTGCCCTCCCTGGCAGGTAGAGCACATGGTTATCTTTCTGCAGAAATATATATATGCTCTCCCTGATCTCTTGGTGCATTTTATGGCTCTATTCCATGGGGAAACAAGCAGCTGTCAGGATCCCAGGAACTCCTTGGTGCTCTTCAAAGCACCTTACATCTCGGGGGCATGACAGTAGAGCTATGCAGGTGAACAGACATGCCTGTTTAGATATAATCAGGCTCAGTTGTTGGAGGTGTCTATAATGTTTCTGGGGCAAAGTAAATAGGCTTAAGTCAGAAATATCAGCCCAGGCTGACCGTTTCACCTGGCGGCTGAGCAGAAGGACCTGGAAAGTCTTGGTCACTGAAGATCAGTTGTCAGCACACTACTGGCGTTCTGGAGACCCTCAACAGATAAGATCTGTGATTTGGAAAGCATTTACTAGGTGGTGTCATCATACATGTACGGGTTTCTTGACCTGAAACCGTCTGGAAATTCCATATATCTTCCATAACAGCAAGGACTTGATCTGAATACCCTTAAAAGACAGGCTGCTGCTCACTCTTCTGTCAGAAAGTTCAAGCAAGGCATCCCCTCCCCTTCGTTCTGACAACCGACATTTTCTCAGGACTGCAGCCTGCCCTAGCCCTCCTATGATAGCCACCCAAGCACCATCTTTTAATCTTAGCTCTAGAAGTTTCTCTGATTCGAATCTATGCATGCTTTATTCCATCAGTGTGGCTGGGCAGATGACCATTTGAAGAATATCAGTTACATATGCAGGCAACCTTTTCGTTCCCTAAGAAAGGCATTGTACATCTTCCAGAGGGACTCTGGTATTATGAAGCAACCTCCTTGTCAACCCCAACATGCATTTGTCCTTTCCAAGAGCCTAGTGCTTTTGTTCTGCCTTCTCCAAAACTACAAAAGGGAATGACACAAATTGGATGTATGTGGAGCCATTGAAAATTACATCAACACATGGTGACTTTCTAATCCTCAGATGCCCATTTTGTGTCATTTTACCGTTCAACTATGGGGAGGAATGTCTCCTGAACCAGCTGAATAAAATAACCAGTTGAATGAAAACTGTATTTCCTGTATTTCTTCCCACTCAGCTAGAGAGGCAGCAATCTCAACACCCTTTTCCACAACCCTCCCCCCCCCGAGAAGATTTATAGGGCAGTTACTTAGTCCACTTCTTACACTGTCACGAGATACTACAAGCTGGAAACTTTGGCTGAAGCCACATTCAACAAGCAGGTACTCCCAGCAAATTCTTTCCCATAGGCTTCTCAAGCATTTCACACACAGGATAGCATAGTTTTTCAACATCCATCACAAATATATCCTACTCCACCAGTGGAAAATGAAACATTGGAATATGGATTTATTTTCATCTATGGATTGGAGAGTATCCTTTCCCACACATGTTGAGGCCATGATGCTCCTGAGAAACCGTAACCAATCTCATTAAAGCATGAATTGTGGACAGACTGTAGAGTATGCCATCATGTACATAATCGAGGCATCATCCTCTATTTAAATAAATTTTAGTTAAACAGAGGGAACATTCATTTACTTCCGTGCCAATGTACCTGGGGATCTGCCTCCCATTAGAAACAAAAGGTTTGTATTAGATCTTCAGCACAGCCTCTTCCCGTGTGAAAAGGACAGAAAGAGTACTCACAAGAGTACACCAGTGAAGGTGGTAGATCAAGTGTTTCATTCTAGTACTGTACTAATTAATACCCAGTTATTAGCATTTAAGGTAACTCTGCTTAAACAATAGATTAATTCTTAAGGATTGATGTAGTAAAGCCGGAGTGCCCCTGAAGGCAATTACATCCCAAATTGAGGGGTGGGGAGTCTTTACCAGAACAGAGTGGTGGTAGCAGTTTTTCAAACTTTAAGTTTGGAGGACAATGAACCTTCTAAGCTCACAACACTTTGTAAGCAGTATGTTAATCTGTTAATGCTTCTCTTCGATGCTGAGAATTATTAAAGATAATAAGGGAAAACGTAGTATTAAGAAGCCAGTGAATTTAAATTTGATTGCTTGTTCAGAGTCAGAATCACTGTATTGTATGTGGCCATAGGCCTTCACAATATCAAACACTCTCCGAGAGTTTGTACATAACATCGGATAAAAGAGAGAAAAAAATTCAGCCTCTATAAAATGTATAAAACCTGTTAAAACTACCTCAGCCTATAATATTTAAATCCGATAAGACCTTTTAAGAACACTCAGTTGCAATGGTACTATTTGATTTCTTTGCTCTAATTTTTCTCGTGGCCACGGCAAAGAGAGCTAATCTTGAAGAGATGAAGGGGTCCTCATCTGAGAGCATATAAGGGTCATCTTATCATAATCAGACAGGGGGTATAAGGCTGTCAGTATCTTAGCTAGAATTTTGGCCCTAGGTTCTATGTATACAAGACAGGCCAGAATATAATGGGGAAGGTCTTCCACTAACTGCCCACATATGCAGATACGTTGGTCTACTGGGGTGATTGCTTGTTAAAAACTGCAGTGAAATGTGCAGGACAGTTGAGGAGTTGATGCTAATGTTTAATTTTGAACATTTCTTGCAACAGGGCACTGTAGAAAATGAAGCTTTAAAGAACGAAGCTTCCTCATCTGCTTTAGTAAAAGTCAGTGTTCCAGTTACATCCCAAAGAAGAGATCACCCTGACACCTCTGATCCCAAAGCTGGGTATGTAAATATGATGGCGATTCACTGGGGTACTATGAAAAACATAACTTAATGTGCACTTGTGTGTTGTTGGTCTTTATTGACCTGTCACCATGGTCTCCAGGGCTTGGGACGGGTTGGTCCACCAGTTCTATAAAATTTCCAGTTCATCATTTGTTTTGGAACTGCACTTGTGCAGGCCAGCCACAAATAGATTTTTCCAGCTAAGGGTGCCCCCCTCAACACAAACAGTGTTTCCTGTCCAAACTGTCACATGCTCCGGAGGCAGGGCACCCTCAATTCTTTTCTTTTTTTTGCCTCTGTGTGGTTATGAGCTTCCCAGCTTAGCAACTCAGGTTGTTTTTCTAGAACATTGTCTTTTTTTCTTTGAGAGTTCTTCCCTCCTAGCCTCATTTCAGAAAGAGATTCTTCTCTTTCTCATACAAGCGATCACTTGGACCAGATGAGGTGAATCTTGTTGACCCACTCTTGGTTTTCTAACCCTGCCACTTGTGGTCATGAAATGGCGTCCAAGGCACTCTTTAAAAAATGCATGAAATATGCTACAAAAATGACCCACAGTGATGAGAATGAACTTTGTCTCATCTGTTTGGGAGAATCACATAACATGGTCGCTTGCAAGATTTGCCAGGGCTTCACACTTAAGGCCCGTTTGGATAGAGCATCCCATTAGGAGAAGGCTCTGTGGACATCGGGCTCGTCCAGGTCAGTTCCATCATTGGAACCTTCAAAACTGCCTCCTTTGAACTTATCAGCCTCATCGGTTCCAACACTGAGAGTTCTATTCCAGACCACCATCTGTTCAATTGGTCCAAACGGTTCCTACATCTGAACAGGCTTTGCACCCAACTAAGAGGTCCTCGTCAGTCACCCCCAACTCAGACCTGAGACGTCCTCAGTCCCCATCTCTATGGATCCCAGCTCATCCTTTGTGAGGACCGCCAACCAAGAAACGAAAGAAAACAAAACATGAGAAAGACAGTTCAGCCAAGCATCGTAGACATCCGTTGTCTTCACTGAGGTGGTCCCCAGAGGAGCAAGATGTTATTTTTATGCCTCTGCACATTCCATCTCACTTCAGTTCCCCAGCCAATTCCTTGTCTGGATCTAAAGAGGAACTTTCTGCCCTTCCAGCAAGACAGTGAGTGCAGTCAGAACCAACTATGCCGTGTCATGGCAACAACCAGGCCTGACTCAGTGGCCTCCATATTATATGTCTCTGGCATAACTTCAGGATTGGCCCGAGCACCATCCTCAGCAGCACCCATTTGTAGCTCCGCCAGACCCTAACCCTGAATACTTGGAAGCCCATTCTCCTTTCGTGCCACCTGATGTGGACCTTGAGGAAGTAGGGACTGTTGCATCCCAGTACAGTTCTGGGAGCATCCCCAGACAAGAAGGTGGGGGATCCAACGCTTGTCTCCCCCCAACAAATACCTGAGGCTTTATAGTGAGCAAATGCTCAGGATGTTGAAAGCATTCAACATTGACATCTCCATGTCTGACAATAGGCCAAAGGATAAGGTTTTCAAGCCCCCTGTATCTGGACTTACTGGATAGAGGGACGTTCCCTGTTTTGGAAGGCCTCACCAATTTGACAGTGCCCATTTGGCAAAAGCCAACATCCACTCCAGCCACCCCTTGCAGATTTGAAAATTTATATAAGATTAATCTAGACTCATGCAAGTTTCTGATGATACATCCACCTCCTTCCTCGTTTGTTATGGAGGACATGCAGGTGCAGCAGAAGCCTGGTCAGCATTCCTCTTCTTTGGACAGAGTCAACACTTGGATTTGTTAGGTATAAAATAGTATACCTTGGCAGCCCTGAATTTCAGGATTGCAAATTACCAAACTATTATGGGTGTCTACTAACTCTTCCTATGGGAAAACTTGTCACAGTACTTGGACACTTTACTTTAGGAGCTAAAGGTTCAGCCGAGTTGATCCAGTCTATTAGGCTTTCCAAACAGGAAATAAATGCAAGCAGACATGCTGCAGACATAGTTCCAAGATCAGTGGCCTCAGCTATTGTCATGAGCTGGCGCTCCTGGTTTTGCTCAACTGCTCTCCCATTAGAGATACGCTGCAGAGTTGAGGAACTCCCCTTTCTAGCCTTTTTTCATAGACCACAAACAAGTTCCTCTCTACTATTAAGAAGAATTGTCAAACCACAAAGTCTCTTAGCATCTTTTCTCCACCTTCCGCCCCGAGACAGTGCTCCCCCCCCCCCGGCAGCATGGTTTTGCAACTCCCTTCTGTAAGAGCCCAAGGCAACAGCAGGTGCCATACCAGTATCCTCAGCACCAGTATCAGCTGTCCTCCTTCCAAAGGAGAAAGAAGAGAAGAGATTGTATTTATACCCCACCCTTCACTCTGAGTCTCAGAGTGGCTTACAGACTCTTTTCCCATCCTGTCCCCACAACAAACAACCTGTGAGGTAGGTGGGGCTGAGAGAGCTCTGACAGAAACTGCTCTTTTCAAGAACAGCCCTGACAGAACTATGGAGGAGTGGGGAATCAAACCCGGTTCTCCCAGATTAGAGTCCACGCACTTAACCACTACACCAAACTGGCACCCTGAGACCCAGAGCCATGGATCAACAGTTTCCCCCTAGGGAGCAGAGTCAGCAAGCGCAAAACTTCTGACTAGCCCCTTAAATGCCTAAGGTTCCTGTATTAGGGATACATTAGTTTGTTTTTATGGGGCATGGTGTTCTATTTGTTCTGATGTTTGGGTTCTGTCAAATGTTCGTTATTATTTCCTGGAGTTTACTTGCCTTCCCCTTTACTTTCCCGCATCAGTGGTGATGGATAACCCATACCCAGAGCTCTGACTGCAACTGAATGAACTCCTGTGAAAGGCGGCAGTTGAGAGGGTTCCCTTGAGCCTACACTCAGGTGGTTTCTACTCCAGGTTTTTTCTGGTGGATAAAAAATGGCGGCCGTAGGCCAATTCTTGATTTAAGAAATTAAACAGGTTTTTGAAGGTTTCTAAATTCAGAATGGTTTCTTTTTCATCCATTGTCAAGCTGCTCACCCCCAACTCCTGGTTCACTGTGTTGGACCTTAAAGACACCTACTTTCATTTTTCCATTCATCCCTCATACAGGAAGTATCTTCGCTTTAGGCAAGGTTCAGAAATTTTTCAGTACTCAGTTTTGCCTTTTGGCCTTGCCACCACCCCTAGGGTCTTCACTAAGTGTATGGCTGTTGGGGCTCATTTGAGGTCTCAGGATTGTACCCCTATTTCAATGATTGGCTTGTACTAGCCCACTCACAGGAGCTCCTTATGGCTCATCTGGGTATAATCCTTTCCACATGCAAGTTTGGACCTAATGATCAATTGGGACAAATCCTACTTGGAACCTTCCCACCAGATTCAGTGTCATTAGATTCCCTGCAGGCCTTTTTACCTGCAGAAAGGGGTAACTCCATTAAGGCTATGGCATGTGCCTTCCCATGAAAGAGATGGAAGTCAAGGGCCATACAGTGCCTACCAGGCCTTATGGCATCAACCACAGCTGTCGTTTCCCAGTCCAGATTGCACATGTGTGGTCTCCAGCTTTGATTTCTTAGGAGTTTTGACTCATCACAGCATTCACCTAGGTGCTGCTTCTCCATCTCCAGAGCCATTTTACCAGGTGGACGGAGCATGCCAATCTTTTTGTGGGGGTCCCATTCAGGATTTGGGTTCCTCAGGGCACCCTCACTACTGATGCTCCCTTATGGGCTGGGGTGTGCACTGTGAAGGATTTTTTGTTCAGGGCAGGAGTTCGGAGCTCAGTTGCAGTCTCTATATCAATATCCTTGAGCTCCATGCAGTCAGGTTTGTCCTAACCTTCTTTGCATATATTCTCCAGGACAAGAGGGTACTTGTTCAAACAGACAATATGTCCACCATGTAATACCTCAGCAAACAGGGGTACAGGGCCCCAGAGGTTGTGTATGGAAGCTATTGCTGTTTGGAAGGTGGCAGCATGTATCAACATGTCTCCCAGGGCTATTTCTATAACAGGGATCCTGAATATCAAGGCCAACAACCTCAGCAGTATTTACTTCACCAACCATGAATGGTCAATTCAACCCAAGTATCTCCAGGGAGTTTTCAAAAAATGAGGTACTCCTCAGGTGACCTGTTCATCACATCTGAGATGAGGAAGGCACCATAGTTCTGGTCTCTTGCTGACAGTTATCCAGTTTCATTGGGGAATGTGCTTCAGATCCAAAGGTTGGGACCCCTGTTTACACCTTCCCTCCCTTTCCCCTCAGCTGATAGCTGATACAGTTCAGAGTCTGTATCGTGATAGCCCCTATTTGGCCTCACCAAATTTGGTTCTCCAGATTTGTCCGCCTTGCTTAGTTGGAGTACATCCCACTCTCCCCCCCAATCCTGGATTTGTTGGTAAGGGGACCTATCCTGCATTACGATTTGGCCCACTTGCATCTTACGGTGAGGAAAATACACCCATAGGGTTGCAGTTCTCACTTGAGGCATGCAATATCCTAGTTCAGGCTAGGAAACCCTCCACCAAGTATTCCTATTCTAGTAAGTGGGTTCAGTGAGCCTTGGGTCCAGTCCAAGGGATTGTCACCTCTTATCTGTCCCTTACTCACTGTGTTGGAGTATTTGCTTTCCCTGTCTTCTGAAGGGTTAGCTGTTTCATCCGTAAAGATACACTTAGCTGCCATTTCAGCATATCATGAGAGTGTAGGAGGGTCATCCCTCTTTGGCCATAAGCTGTCACAGCACTTCTTTAAAGGCTTTCTCAATGTATTTCCCCCCC